GTCCTGAAGTGCTGCAGCAGATTACTTCTCCAGAGTCTGATCTAACAAGGCTGGAAGAACTTCTCAAAGGACAAGATTTGCAATTTGCTGCTTCAGTTGATCTTTCCTCCTTCATCATGGGGGTGGATCAGGAAGCCTCCTTTCACAATGTTCCATCAAGAGCGTCTAGTCACCGTAGCTCAAGTTCCACTACTTCCCGAGTGACAGAACTTGATGGTAGTAGCTCTCTGGTCTCTGGCAGTTCCTCCCAGCTTTACGATGACACAATGAATCTGTTCACAAGGGCAATCTGTCACCAAGTGATGGACAACGTGTCTGGGGCCTCTAGTCCCACAATGGATGACAACATCCATGACAGAGAGTTATCAGTCACAGCCACTGGGTCTTAGGAGCAGGCCGACAATGATTCCAGTTCTATCCAGGCTGTGAAACAAGGCAAAGGGAGGTTCAGATTCCTCCCAAAGATCTCTAAGTTCAGAATCAACCTCAAGGTACACCAGAAATGGTTCTAATTTAAATGATATCATTGAATATTGTAATTATTTGGTGTTTATTACTTAATGGTATTACTTTATACTTGTCTTGTTTTCAATTAGTAACCCTGTGAATTGCTGCTGTCTAAATAATGGCGTTTTAAGAATTACATTAATTAAGACCATTTTTATTTTGAAACCATTAGCCCTTCAAGCTAAGCAACAAAAAGGAGGTCCAGCCCTCAGAGGAAGCACAGGACCAGGTTAAGTTTTCCCATGAGGAGTAGCATTGCATACGTAAGTCTTACCGCTAATCATTATTTCATCACATATTTCCCAGTCCCACAACATTAGCAACATGAAAAATGTTTGAATAGCACAAAATCTGTTTAAAACTTAAAGTATATGTAGGCTTGTAGACTGAAGTTCATGCCAACTTTCTCTGCTGTCTCTAACACCTCGCATAGTGCCAAGGCTGTCACGACTCCACTAGAGAAGAGTCTTCCTGCAACTTCCAAACCCGAGGAGAAGAAACACAAACCCTTCATCTTTGTCAGGATGTTCTCGGCCATCAACAAATGCCTTCGAAACACCTTCAAACCGTCATCCAATAAGTATTAATTTTTTTACAACAAGTAACAACACTTAATTGCATTCAGTTAATTTCCGTTGTAATCTTTTCATGTCTTATTTAACAAAAAGTCACTGTAAAATTAAACATAACTCACTTGGTTAAATGTATTTCGAAACAGAGTATGCATACTGCTTGAGATGGAACCCTGGTTGGATTACACTAACCATTGATTGTCACTAGACCATTAGCAGGCTCAGACTGTCACGGTCGTTGAAGGACGGGTCAGACCAAGGCGCAGCATGAAATGCATCCATGTTTATTAAACCGAATAAACATACAAAACAACAACAGGCAATGAAACGAAACGTTGGAAGGCTATACACACAAGCCAAACTCACCGAGCACAAAACAAGATCCCACAACACAGGCAGGAAAACTGGCTGCCTAAGTATGATCCCCAATCAGAGACAACGAGCGACAGCTGCCTCTGATTGGGAACCACACCCGGCCAAACATAGAAATACAAACATAGAATCAACACACACGATATTCACACCCTGACCAAACTAACTAGAGTTCTATAGGTCAGGGCGTGACAAAGACTTTTAAAGTAGTTCACTAATAATCAGGTGTTCAACAAATAAGCTGTTTGTTTTTAATCCGTTTTCATTTTGTTCAGCATTATCAATATTCTGTGTAAATGGGGGCCCAGAAAACTTGTTACTGCAGTTTATTGGGAAAACTATTGAAATTATAAGTGGTGGCAGGTAGCTTAGTGGTTAAGAGTGTTGTGTCAGCAATCGCTGGTTCTAATCCCCGAGCCGACTAGGTAAAAAATCTGTCGATGTGCCCTTGAGCAAGGCACTTAACCCTAATTGCTCCTGTAAGTCGCTCTGGATAAGAGCGTCTGCTAAATTGATTTTTTATTTTTATTTTTATTTTTAAAAAATAAGGACATGCAAGGAACCTGTAACATCATGCATTTGAGATATCTAGGATATAAAAAAAAGAATATACAGGAAACAGTCACTTTTTAGTGCAACATACAGATCTTAATTTGATCACACTTTTGTTGTTGAGAATTTTCCTGCACAGCAGGAAATCCAAACTTGTAGTGTATTTTTTAGTGAGTTTAAGAGCTTCTCAAGTTTGTAATTTCCATTTAGAAATTGCAGACTTGATTTGCCCTAACGAAAAATGTATCAACCCCTACAAAAATGTCCATTAATTATAATCCACATAATAAATCACATTTCCTGTTGCTGCAGGATTATTTTCCTGCTGTAGCAAACTGGCTAAAATTAAGATCCTACATCTGTACAGACAATTGTGAATAAATAACATGTTCATTCACTCCTTTTACTTCACTGACATAAAACAGGAATTCTGGGGATAGAATAGTATAGAAGGGCTGTTCTACATATACAGTTGTAAACATGCTTATACTGTAGGCTTAACTAACTGACTTGCTGTGTGTCTCTACAGTATACACGGAGTATACCAAACATTAAGGACACCTTCCTAATATTGAGTTGTACCCCCTTTTGCCCTCAGAACAGCCTCAATTCGTTGGGGCATGGACTCTACAAGGTGTCGAAAGCATTCCATTTGTGTCAAGTTGGCTGGATGTCCTTTGGGTGGTGGACCATTCTTGATACACACGGGAAAATGTTGAGTGTGAAAAACACAGCAGCGTTGCAGTTCTTGACACACTCAAACCGGTGCGCCTGGCACCTACTATCATACCCTGTTCAAAGGCACTTAAATATTTTGTCTTGCCCATTCACCCTCCGGCACATACAGTATACACAATCCATGTCTCAATTGTCTCAAGGCTTAAAAATCCTTATTTAACCTGTCTCCTCCCCTTCATCTACACTGATTGAAGTGGATTTAACAAGTGACATCAATAAGGGATCATAGCTTTCACCTGGATTCACCTGGTCAGTCTATGTCATGGAAAGAGCTCCTAATGTTCCTAATGTTTTGTAGACTCAGTGTAGTTTGTGCAGGTTATGTCTTGTGTCTCTGTCTCGGTCTGTCCGTGTCTGTCTAGGGCAGCTCCATCATGTTGTGTTGTTCCAGTACGCTCTGTGTGCATGTGTGTACTTCTCTCATAACAATGTTGAGCACCGGCCCAGCCTCCTCCTCTTTGCTCACACACACTATGTTGAGGAACAGTCTTCTGTCTGGCAGCGCTACAAACACCAACTCAGCCGCCCTGCTGATCAACGGTGGGCCAGGGCCATGGTGTACGCATCCCTAGGGAACAGGGGCAAGGTTAGGGTTAGTGTGTATGTGTGTGTGTGTATATGAGTGAGAGAGCAGGTATCTGCCCTTTACCTAACAAGTCCTCACTATATCATTCATGGCAAGTTTAAAAGGTGTTCCCCTTATAAAAACTCTCTCTCTCTCGCACACACAAACACACACTCGTCGTACTTGATGAGTTCGTCCCAGCTGTAGAGGTGGTGCTCCAGCAGAACGTTGTCAGAGTGTGCAGCCATGGAAGAGGTTAGGTGGAACATGAGACGCCACACCCGGAACTGTTGACCTGGACACACCTGGAGAGGGGGCACGGAACCCAACACTACACCCCTGTCACCCTGTTGTCCCCCACTCTGCACCTCTCCTGCATCTGGAATAACAGGGGTTTCCGGCTAGAAGAGGAGAGAGGCGGAGAAGAGGAATGCACAAAAAAAAAGAGGTATCACATCATTTTTCCTATGTATCTTCACAGTTGTATAATAAAATATTTCACTTTGTTTTACACTAGAATATCAATTGCACTAATGATTTTCAAATATAACTAATAACTACATTATTAATACATTTTCCTACAGACTAAATATCACGTGTGTGTGTGTGTGTGTGTGTGTGTGTGTGTGTGTGTGTTACTCACCTTTGGACGGTAGAAATGGAAACTTAGACTGGGGTGCCAGGAGGTCTCAGAATCACACATTCCAACCTGAGCAGCGAGAAAGAGCCTCACGGAGAACAGTTTCAGCTAAACACTATGGTTAAAGTGGAAACTCAGGGAGCCAGAAGGAGCTGAGGAAGAGCAGCAGAGCCATGATGGAGGCCAGCAGCAGGTAGTGTTGCAGTCGCTAATAGAGTCCCATATTGTCTACACAGACAGGTACTGTCCTGATGAACAACACCCTTCACATAGCTTACCGGTAGTTAACCTCGTCCCCAGGTTAATCGCTACCGAGACAAATTCGGATGGTGAGCAAATCTAACTGGTAGTAAACGGCTATCGCCTACTCTGTATTTCTCTACCTATAGCTCATCTCTCCCTCTCTTTTTCTCCCTCTGCTGTCTCTCTGTCATTTCTCATTCTTCCTGTACTCTCTATGCCTCTTACACTCTTTCTTAGTACTGTTTTCCTTTCCCGCTCTTTCTAAATGTAACACAGTAAACATACGCTTCCTATTTAAGCCACACCCCCTGGAACACTCTGAACTTGACCTATAACCTTTGGCTTTTATCTCAACCACTGTTACATCACCTGTCAGCCAACACACACACGAGCAGGTAAGGTTATGATGTCCCTGTATCTCATGATGTCTCTGGACTCTGGCTTTGAGTTGGAACTTATCAGGGATGTGACACCCACACACACCCACCCACACCCACCCACAATACTGAGACAAACAAGTGTGTTATGATACATTTTATTTTTTCCAGAGAGAGGCATACTTCAGCTCAACACATTGCTCTCCATGTCTTACATGAAGAGTTACAGTGTGTGTAAGTCTGTCGGTTAGTTTGCATTGTGTCTATGATGTTAATGTGTAACATGTTTATTCTTGGCACATGGCAGTATAGATCATGTATCATATTCAGTTTTCAACTCCAGGCCCTGGAGGGCCACAGTACTGGTTTTCATGAATATCAATAACATTGACACTATACAGCAGATGGTTTCCTCAGAGGCACTTTAACTTAGTCTAACGCAATGTCCCATTGGACAGCCTGGGACCCGCCTGTCTTCTCCCATTGGCCGTGGAGTCTGAGCGGAGTGTCTGGTTGGTTGCTCCTGAGGCAGGGGCAGAGCTAGGAGTCTGGTGCACAGAGAGCGAGAGAGGGGGGAGCGGTTTATATTTACCACAGTAGGTAAGTTCTCACATCATCCCCCAATACTTTCTGTCCTCACCCCTGCCAGAGAAGACAGTGGTGTGAGACACACACACACACACCTTACCGTTACGCCCCTGCCCCGTCCACAGAAGACAGTGGTGAGTCCTTTAGAGATGGAGACGTGCTTCATAGGACGGGACTGAGACCGACGCAGCTCCGTCAGCAGCTCAGGACTGGAGAGAGAAAGGCGAGTAGCGCGACCTGCACACACACACACACAAATATTATTGTACACCACTACACTACACACAGCAGCTCTTTACTGGAGAGACACATACACACATTACTACTGTATTATTATACTACTACTACTACTACTACTACTACTACTACTACTACTACTACTACTACTACTACAACAACAACAACAATGCTGCTACTACTACAACAACAACGCTGCTGCTACTACTACGACTGCTACTACATTAGCTATACTCAGTAGCTGAGAAGTGGAGAGAGACTAGCAACACATTACTCAGACTATACTATCAGTACTACACCATGACACTGTTCGAAAACGTACACTCACCCTCTGTAGTGGGCGTGGAGGGGGAGAGGGGCTGTGGTGGAGAGTTAAAGGGGGAGGTGGGGGAGAGAGGCTGAGGTGGGGAGGTAAGGGGGGAGGTGGTGGTGGAGGTAAAGGGTGAGACCAGGGGGGAGCTGGGGGAAGTGAGGACATCGTCGGTGTCGCAGGAGACAGTTCTGAGACCACGGCTAGCTCTCCTCAGAAACTCCGCCTGGAGCTGGGGACTGGACAGACAGAGGGGTGGAGGAGTGGAGGAAAGAGGGGGAGGAAGGGAGGCTACAGAGGTGGAGACGGGGGGAGAAGGCTGGAGGGGAAGGATTTGGGGTCTAGCAAAGTCGTTGTCGGGGGAGGCAGCTTTGGGAGCTCTCCTCAGAAACTCAGCCTGGAGATGGGGACTGGAGAGAGAAAGTGGAGGAGGAGGAGGGGAGGAGACGGGGGGAGGAGGGGAAGAGGGATGGAGGGGAAGGGTTTGGGGTCGAACTGAGTCCTGGGGCGAAGGTGACGTCGACAATGTCATCGGAATGATGAGGACTTCTCCGACTGGATACTGAAGAACAAGAAGAGAGCGAGAGAGATAGAGGAGAGAAGGAAATAGAGGTAGAGAGAGAGGCGGGTTGGGGTAAGAGCAGACGTTCTGCAATGGATGCTGTTTAATTGTGCATCACAATCAAATATTCCGATATCTTACCTCCCTCCTCTCCATGGCAGCAGCAGTATCAGTGGGAATCTAGCCTATTACCCTGCACACAGAAACACACACACACAAAACATATTCACACAATCTGTGTAGTGCACACACCTCTTACCCAATACGAGCCTTGCGCTCCTCAGAGAACACAGCTTGGCCAATCACAGCGTTGCCTATTGCCACCGTTGAAGGAGATTTTCAGCGTCAAATAAATATAAAAAAAAATCGAAAATAAACACGCAAATTATGCTTCTCTTCTCAGAGCTCGGTGAAAACTGCGTTATTTGGCTATACCCGGCGGAAATGAAAGACAGCGGTAGCCTATAGTTTATTGTGCGTATTGATCAACGAGCCATTGATCCTAGGATCAGAAGGATTAATCTGCCCGCGGTCTCTGCCATCCCCCCATAGTGGTTTAGGGTTTGGGTATGGTAATCTGATCCTAGATCTGTGTTAAAAAGGACGACCCATAGGCTACACCCATTCATTACATCCTACTCACCTGGTGAGCTTCAGCGATCGGCTCGCGCTTCACAGCTCGAGGCGTCCCCGATCCGCTGCTAGATTCGCTTGCCAGCTGCCTGTTACTAAATTTCCGTACACACTCCCTCACCGGGCAAAGTCTGCTGTGCGAACAGGTAACCGATTATTATACCGAGCCTAGCCCAGTCATCCACACAACGCACGATGCACGCGCAGCTTTCACTCGTTGACACTCCCAAGTGCTGTCAATAGGCTACAACAAACACACCAAAACACACACTCCGACGTCCTGTCTGTGCCAAATTCAGCGCTACCCTTCACGCTCTCTTTCTCCTCCATCCGCGCACATTAATAATTGACGTCCTTTACAGCTCGAGGTTCAGGGGTTTTTGCCCTTGGTTACCACTTGACCCCCCCACCCCCACCTATAATTGTATAGCCTATCCAGTACATGCAAAACATTAACATATATTCAACCACTGCTAGACTTTAGTCAGTTATGCAGAAGGTTATGTGTGTGTGTTTGTGCAATGGTTTCAGAAAATACAGTTATTTTATTCATCCTCCTGGAAGTGAATAAGCGTAAAACCTGTTGTTCCCTCTAGGAACACTCCTCCCAAAAACAAACATCTGTATACAAACCTGGACTAGGGTACACCCACCAGTCACAAACATGCTCCGCGCAGACACACAGCCGCCCGCACACACACACACAAACGACAAAATACAGGAGGCTAAGCTAAAGCATAAAGGACAGCAGACAGAGTCATATCAAAACATGTTTAATGAATCATCACAGCAGGACAGACAGACAGAGACATATGCATGGGCCCAAGATACCCCCTTACTACACACCATACGACACAAACCCATCCCTCTCCTTCCTGTCCCCCCCCTTCAGGTCTTACTCCACAACACGAACTTCACACTGCACAGTGCTATGCCACTGTGTGCATGCTGTAACGTTCTAACAGTGTTCCCCATCGTTCTCTGGTAGCCTTCTCTCCATAGCATCTCTGGGGAGACATTGTAGCAATGTTCGGGTACACTAGTAATTCTCCGTGGTGCCGTTCCTGTATTGTTGTAACATTCTAGATAGCTACAGGTGGATGAGTTTACCATCCAAATTCTGTGAGCATGACCAAATATGATCAGATTAGCAGCTACAGAGTCATCTTCAGACACCTGATAGAGAGAGAAAGATGTGAGGGTACGGGTTGTGGGGCTGATACACAATACTGTGTGTGTAGATGTGTGTGTGTGTGTTGTTTTCAATGTGTGTCTGCACATGATGCATGCATGTTACCTGGTCTCTCTGTGTGTGGACAACGTGTGTAACAGTGGGTGTGTGTATACAGTGTGTGGAACAGTATGTGTGTAGTGTGAGTTACCTGGTCTCTCTGTGGGTTGTGAGGCAGCGTGTGGAACAGTAGCGCCCCCCACAGGAGCAGCAGGTGTAGGGCGAGGGAAATCCACAGACTGAGCAGAACAGACGAGGGGGGAGCGAGGAAGGAGGGGCTGCAGCCGACAGGTAGTTAGGCTCCTCCCTCTCAGACACGTTCTGCCAATCACAACACAGCAGGGCCAGGTTGACTATGCAACGGTACCCCCCTGTATATATAGCCTCCCTACTGTCACTTTATTCTATTGTATATATAGCCTCCCTACTGTCACTTTATTTTTTACTTCTGCTCTTTTTTTTCTCAACACTTTTTTGTTGTTGTTTTATTCTTACTTTTTTGTTTAAAATAAATGCACTGTTGGTTAAGGGCTGTAAGTAAGCATTTCACTGTAATGTCTGCACCTGTTGTATTCGGCGCATGTGACCAATAAAATTTGATTTGATTTGATTTGATTTGATTTGAGGTTAGGGTTAGACTCAGCAAAGATGGGGAGAATCTCATTTGGTTTTGCTCAATCCTGCGTCGTCTCTCGCCTCCTTTTGAAAAACGTCCTAAGGTAATCGAGGAGAGGCGGCGAGGAGAGGGAATGTGGATGAAAATGCGCTTGTAATGAGACTCCTTCTCCACTAGCGAGTCAGACAAATTATGTTTACAGGGGTGGAATACCCAAATAAAATGTGTAAAGTGATAAAACAAATGTAGCTAGTTGTATAAGACATTTTATAGATAAAAGGATAAGTGGCATTTCTTTCTTTTTTTAACAGCTGATTCAAATGGGGTGTAGCGGGTACACTTCTGCGCTTGCCACCGCAAGGATACCTTTGAGGTGTCCTAGTTCTATTATCTACCTCCTCTTCTAGTAGAGTCTGGAAGTTTTTGCGGAATCTCTGTTTGAAGTGATCGCCTCTAGTTTTCCTCTTCTTCTTACCTAGAGACAGGAAGAATGACGGAAGGAGGAGGAAGAGAGAGGCAGGAGAAGATGAGCGAGAGAGAAATATAAAATGGAGAGAAGGGGGAAGTATACATGGGAAAATGTATGTAAAGCTCTCAACCAACTCCTCACAGTAGCCCTGGGCAGGTCTAAAAGGTGTTCCTCACACACAGTCACATACAAACACACCAGGTTCGTCGCCTTCGCTAAAGGCAGGTAGGCGGGCGGTAGGACCGGTGGGAGGCAGTGAGGAGAGAGGGTCATCCTGGAAGTTGTCCTTCTCTAAAGCATCCAGCTGGCGATTTAACCTCCGCTGGCGTGTTGCATCATCTAACACACGCCTCTGTCCTGCCTCTGCAACACGGGCTGGGGGAGGGGAGGGGGTACATTTTCTATAAAACATCCAATATCTGTAGTTTTATGGATTAAGTCATTTTTGTCAACACTGGTGTCATGTTTTAAAGGCAATAGTAACAGTAGCCTAAACCCTCCTGGACCGTTACTGGGTGTGCAGGCTTTTGTTTTAGCCCTGCTCAAATACACCTTGCTGTTGGAAAAGTACTGAAAGTGACTTTCTGTTGTCATGTACTTCCTCTCATTTATTTCGTCTGCTTTAGGCTGTCAATCAGAGATGCTCTATAATGTTTCAGTATAGCATGTCAAACATACTAACTACCGACACATCACCGCCGGTTAGCCACTTAGCTAGTTAGCAAGCTCAAGTGACAAACGAAATTCTACGGTTGTTTAGTCTTACTACTTGTCATGTCTTTGTGACTTGTACTTAAGTTATGTACTGGATATAGTTAGGCTATTATAACCAGAAGCAACTATTTATAAGAAAAGAGGGTTAAACTCACCCGAAGACTTCTTCTCAAAAACCATTTGTTCCTTCCTTAGCAGCAAGCGTGTTTGGATGATCTACGGCGGCCTATAGCAAACAAGTTGTTGTTCTTCTTCTTTGAGATTGGGTTGGCGGATCGTATACACCGCCACCTATTGTACTGGAGTGTGAGGCCAGCCATTGCCTACCTACATTAAATTATCTTCATTAGTCCTGTTCCTCTAAGAAAGTGAAATAGAGCATTGACACCACTTCCCTCCCCCCACTACACCACCCAAACCTCAACCCCGTCCAGCCTTTTTAACCCTTTCACACACTCTCCCTATCTATGTCATACAGTTCACAAAATATCAATACATGCTCTACCGTTTCCTCCACAAAACACAGCCTATTTCATCCACAATGTGACACTCAAACAATAATCTATTCCACACAACGGCCTCTCACTGAAATGCTTGTCATCCAGATCGATTTACAATGGTGAACGCATAGATTAAATTTTTTCCCCCGTAGGAATTGAACCAACAACCTTAGCACTGCAAGCCCCATGCTCTACCAACTGAGCTACACGGGAGATTACATTCATACGCCCCACCTTTTCCTTTACTGACCGGTGCACGCGATAAAATTACTACTAGCATCGAAGAGTTTTACAACTAACCCAAGATAGACCACTGCCTGTCGTTAACATTGGGAACAAATTAGTCATTGTGGGCAGAACAAGCAAGGAGATGGGCAGAGCCAAGCACAAGCTAGAGAGATCCTATTGGCGCGTTCTATAAAATATTTGCATATATACTCTGTAAAGTGCGCGTGTGCAATAACGCAATTCTTGTTTGCACTCCTTCTAAACAACGCGATTTTTTAAAACTTTGGCAAAGTGTAAGTCTACAAAACTTAGTCCACTCTGTTCATAACAGATTTTAGTTTTGGGGACCGAAATCTGTATTGATATCAAATGCTTAATCGATGAGAAGATGTGCAGAATGTCGGCCAAAATCCATCTCGTTCCATCTTCTCCCACTACCGGCCACTGGGCTTCTATATTCCATATTTTGTAGTGAGTGGAAACGCCAAGTTGATGGTTCACATTTATACATCCGGTGAAATATCTGTCTCATTGTTTTATGTGCTAGCATCCCACGCACTCCCTTTTGCCCAAAGTTATTTTATTTTATATTATAATTAATTATATGCCATTTAGCAGATGCTTTTATCCAAAGCGACTTACAGTCATTTTATGTAACGCATTTCTCTTTGTGGGACATGAGCATGAAATTACAATCATATTTATAGGGGTGATAAATAGATAAGGGGGGGGCGAGATCAGATGGGACCATTCTAGCCAATGAGAGGGCAGATACGTACAGGCAAAACTCCGATATAAAGTTTATTTTATTGTATTTTTTGTTGACGAAATGTCAAGTGCGTCCAATTATATCAGTGCATTTGTAACAACCTAAACATTACGAAACTTTTATTCCATTAAATAAGCCTCACGTAGCAAATTAGCAATACAAAACTATGTTGACCAAATTCGACACTCTCTCATTGACCTCCATTAAAAACATCCTCACTTCGTGGTCTTATTTCGTGGACAGATTTTGAGCGGAGTAAACTCTCTCGCTTCGCCTCTTCCTCTCTGGCTACATCCACTATATCCTGCCAGGGGCGGAAGTCAGAATTTCTGTTCCAAACATTAATCATTCCAACACGGAGTGCGTAGTATCAGCATCTTTTCCGTCGCACGCCCATCATTCGCGGTGACCATTCCCTTGTCTTCGTCTACATTTTCATTTACGAATCTTTTGACATGCTTGCTCAAGTTAAATATTGCATCACAGATACGCAATTTTGAAGCAACCGGGTGGGCAATAATTTTGCATCAGGATTGTGCGCTGCGCGTGTTTGTTTTTGTTGAGCGCAAATCATCAATCACCTGGCTGTGTTTAATCATCTACAACAATTATTTCCTGCCATCGTGGTAGGTCGGCTGTGTAGCCGTCTCTCCAACATAGCAAAGGATTAAGTTACTGCTGGTGGCGGATTATTGTATTGGCTTCCTCTTGTCACGGTCTAGTTTTGGCCTTTTTATCTTTTCCAATTAAGAGGTTGTCTGAAATCGAGGTACAGTAATGGAAAAAATATGTCCTTCTCTTTGTAAAACATCTTGCTATTGTATTTACCTTGCCTAATCTCTTAACCACACATTGTCGACCCTCTTCTCGATCATGTAGACTACTTAGGTAATTTGTCGTCTGTGACATTCATTCCCTTAGTTGTATTTTGTGTCCTTATATGGATATTTTCCGACCCCTCTTTTCAATTCATGTTGACGCTGATGATAATGTGCATTGTGCAGATAATCTATTTGCAAACTACACCTACCACTCCCACAGACATTCCTACGTTCAAATGATTAGGATGCAAGCCAACGTTTCGTCATGTTATTATAATTTACAATCAATCCGTTACTTTGGAATGTAACATATGTTAACACCCTTGATTAGATTATACTGTAGCGTCAACTGTAAAGAATTGGGTATCACCCTGCATAGGCCTATAGAATTAGCCCCCCCCCCCCCCCCCCCCCCCCCCACACACACACACACTACTCCCCTTCCCTGTGTTAGATCATGCCCTCTTGTCCAGCCAGCCTTGACTGTTCATTTTAGAACTGACTGACTCACAGTATGGGGGAATTTGGTTGTTTACTTGCTTCCTTATCCCCAGCATGAACATTCATTAAATGTTACTGACTAACTGAATAAACACGTTTTTGTTAGTCAGTTCCATATCGTGTACTTTGAGCTGATAGGGGTTTCGCTGAAAAATACTGTTTGTTTATAAGCTTGACTCTTGACATTGTAGCCTGCTTAAGGTTGTTCTTAAAAGAACATGGCTCAGTTTAGGAACTCATTGGCCTACCACTTGCCTAGTACTGACTTGCAAGAAGTAAAACTAGCCCCACCAGAATTCGAATGAATTCTAACCACCACTTCCATGTGACTATCTCAATATACACGGAGTATACCAAACATTAGGAACACCTTCCTAATATTGAGTTGCACCCCCCCTTTTGCTCTCAGAACAGCCTCAATTCGTTGGGGCATGGACTCTACAAGGTGTCGTAAGTGTTCCACAGGGATGCTTTCCTATGTTGACTGCAATGCAGTTCTCAAAGTTGTTCTCAAAGTTGGCTGGATGTCCTTTGGGTGGTGGACCATTCTTGATACACAAGGGAAACTGTTGAGCGTGAAAAACCCAGCAGCGTTGCAGTTCTTGACAGTCAAACCGGTGTACCTGGTACCTACTACCATACCCCGTTCAAAGGCACTTAAATATTTTGTCTTGCCCATTCACCCTCTGAATGGCACACACACAATCCGTCTCAAGGCTTAAAAATCCTTCTTTAACCTGTCTCCTCCCCTTCATCTACACTGATTGAAGTGGATTTAACAAGTGACATCAATAAGCGATCATAACTTTCACCTGGTCAGTCTATGTCATGGAAAGAGCAGGTGTTGCTAATGTTTTCTATACTCAGTGTACATTTGATGAGGTAGATGTCTTGGAAGCATGATACATTTCTCAGGTGAGATGGGGCTGCATAGTTAGTAGAGGATAACAGATTTGTCACGTTATTGCTTAGGGTGCATTATGGGTAACTAATAATTTACAATGTTGAAATAAATGTGTCTCCAACCCCTATATCACACACTCACAAACTGAAAATGTGTATATTGTACAATCAATTGGGAAGATAGAGGGAGCCAAAAATATCACATTCATTTATACATAACCACTGTATACATGAATTGTGGGCAAAGTTTGTTTCAGTCAGTCTTTGGTCACGTTCATGACCTTTGATCACATACTTTTTGTTAAATTCATGCTGTCGATAATATATGTTAAAGTCTGACCATTTTTATCCCCATAATGCAAGATGCTTTGAAAGGCAGTGACCAACAATGGTCACCGAATTGACAAAAGTGATCTGCTCGAACGCTCCCAATATCTCTCTCTTCACAGTCATGTCGTTCCGAAGAGGCGTGGTCAGACAGAGCAAGTTCAGGCACGTCTTCGCCCAGGCTTGGAAGGCAGAGCACTGCATCGATGACGTCCGAGTGTCCCGTGTCACATGGGACGGGCCCCTCTGCGCTGTGAACCCCAAATTCACCGCAGTCGTCATCGAATCAGGCGGAGGAGGGGCCTTCCTAGTTATGCCACTCAACAAGGTTTGTGCTAGCCCCGTTAAGCATCCACCCAGTGGTGCCTGGAGAAGTGGGTACACTCAAATTGTTCCCCAAATTTTCCAAACGGCCCACCCGGCGAAAGGAAAGGTGCCCTGTGAAAATTATATGAGAAACAGTCGCATACACTCTGAATGACCTAAAATGATCAATCCCATAGTCAGCTTTAAGATTTTTATTGCTCTCAAAGTCCATAACAAACCCACATCAGGAGACCACTTTTGATGTCTGGGAAAAATCTAAGAAATGTAGATTTTTGGTTGTAGTTACCCTTTAATTCAAGTGCACAGGCACCTAGCACTGTTGCTTGTTTAGTAGTGTTTCTGTAGCTCATGAGATGGAGTTTCCTCATGTGTTCTCCTGTTCTATTGGTTTTCTTTCAACTTTCTTTCGTGGTGTAGCAGCCAAAGGCATTATCCTGGTCATATTAGCAACCCATGATAGTTGTTGCATCTTTAGATCTCCCCTCTTTCTACATTTCGAACGGATATTTCCATCTTTGTCCATGAAACCGCTCGCATGTGCAGTGTGCATTTTAGAATGCTATTTTCCCGCACATTACATTTTGGAACATTCACGTGTAGGCCTGCTGCCTTGTGCACATTGCTGCGCCTAAAGTGTGAAGAAATAATAGTTTATCAACATTTTAAGCTAAACATTCTGATTTGTTCCATCAGCCCTACTAATTGATACAGTGTATACCTCTACTACACTACTTTGATACGCATTGTGGGGATTAAGAAGTGAGTATATGCAATGCCCACTGAAAAATAAGTGGGTATATGGTATATACCTGCGTATACCCTCCACTACTCCACGGCATCAAACCTCTCTCAGATGGAAGATAAGGATCAATACCCTAAAAGTGCCCACCTATCTTGATATCTTATTCCTGCAATTGTATCACAAATGTAACTGATTAAAGGCCTATTATTATAATAAACTATTTGCATTGTGAAAAGTAATGTACAATTGCATATAACACCATTGATACTCCCAACTGTAATTTTTTTCTAATAAAGGACCACCATTTGAAAACCACTGACCTAGGGTTTTGTACTAATCAGATGATGATGATAACCATGCCCACCTGCTTCTTTCCCACAGAGTGGCAGAATTGACCAGGCCACACCCACAGTGTGTGGACACGCAGCTCCAGTGCTGGATGTCCAGTGGTGTCCCCATGACGACAACGTCATCGCCAGTGCCTCAGAGGACTGCACTGTAAAGGTAGGTGGTGATGTGAAGGTAGCTGCCCTCTAAAAAGGAAACATAAGCAGTTATAGGGTTGCAAAGGGAGGGTATATTACTGGAAACTTTCAAAGTTTAGCAGTAAACTACCAGAATTTATGGTAACTTTAAAGTGTTTTGGGGAATTGTATCAGATGACATCTAGTGGCCTTTTTGGATACTTCAGATTATCTCAGGCGTCTGTAATTATCTCTGTCCCTCTGTGTGGCCTTATCACGTAAAATATACAAAATAATCAACAAGATCAAAAATAGAATGACAAAGCTGTAGAACATTATCCTAAACATATTAAATACCATTAGTATCCTTTATATATTTGTTTACATACTTTTATTTATTTTACTATGTCAATATGTCTTCGTTGTAAATTTTTTGGTGCCAAACTAGTGGCAGTTGTAAAAAAAAAAAAAAAAAAGTCTTTGAAAATAATGCCATTGTTGATTAGGTTTTATTTTTTTCATTAATTAGGCTATTTTATTTTGAAACATATGGTCTATCCACTAGAAATCCATGGACAATATGGACATATATACACTGCTCAAAAAAATAAAGGGAACACTAAAATAACACATCCTAGATCTGAATGAATGAAATAATCTTATTAAATACTTTTTTCTTTACATAGTTGAATGTGCTGACAACAAAATCACACAACAATTATCAATGGAAATCAAATTTATCAACCCATGGAGGTCTGGATTTGGAGTCACCCTCAAAATTAAAGTGGAAAACCACACTACAGGCTGATCCAACTTTGATGTAATGTCCTTAAAACAAGTCAAAATGAGGCTCAGTAGTGTGTGTGGCCTCCACGTGCCTGTATGACCTCCCTACAACGCCTGGGCATGCTCCTGATGAGGTGGCGGATGGTCTCCTGAGGGATCTCCTCCCAGACCTGGACTAAAGCATCCGCCAACTCCTGGACAGTCTGTGGTGCAACGTGGCGTTGGTGGATGGAGCAAGACATGATGTCCCAGATGTGCTCAATTGGATTCAGGTCTGGGGAACGGGCGGGCCAGTCCATAGCATCAATGCCTTCCTCTTGCAGGAACTGCTGACACACTCCAGCCACATGAGGTCTAGCATTGTCTTGCATTAGGAGGAACCCAGGGCCAACCGCAACAGCATATGTTCTCACAAGGGGTCTGAGGATCTCATCTCGGTACCTAATGGCAGTCAGGCTACCTCTGGCAAGCACATGGAGGGCTGTGCGGCCCCCCAAAGAAATGCCACCACACACCATGACTGACCCACCGCCAAACCGGTCATGCTGGAGGATGTTGCAGGCAGCAGAACGTTCTCCACGGCGTCTCCAGACTCTGTCACGTCTGTCACATGTGCTCAGTGTGAACCTGCTTTCATCTGTGAAGAGCACAGGGCGCCAGTGGCGAATTTGCCAATCTTGGTGTTCTCTGGCAAATGCCAAACGTCCTGCACGGTGTTGGGCTGTAAGCACAACCCCCACCTGTGGACGTCGGGCCCTCATACCACCCTCATGGAGTCTGTTTCTGACCGTTTGAGCAGACACATGCACATTTGTGGCCTGCTGGAGGTCATTTTGCAGGGCTCTGGCAGTGCTCCTCCTGCTCCTCCTTGCACAAAGGCGGAGGTAGCAGTCCTGCTGCTGGGTTGTTGCCCTCCTATGGCCTCCTCCACGTCTCCTGATGTACTGGCCTGTCTCCTGGTAGCGCCTCCATGCTCTGGACACTACGCTGACAGACACAGCAAACCTTCTTGCCACAGCTCGCATTGATGTGCCATCCTGGATGAGCTGCACTACCTGAGCCACTTGTGTGGGTTGTAGACTCCGTCTCATGCTACCACTAGAGTGAAAGCACCGCCAGCATTCAAAAGTGACCAAAACATCAGCCAGGAAGCATAGGAACTGAGAAGTGGTCTGTGGTCACCACCTGCAAAACCAGTCCTTTATTGGGGGTGTCTTGCTAATTGCCTATAATTTCCACCTATTGTCTATTCCATTTGCACAACAGCATGTGACATTTTTTGTCAATCAGTGTTGCTTCCTAAGTGGACAGTTTGATTTCACAGAAGTGTCATTGACTTGGAGTTACATTGTGTTGTTTAAGTGTTCCCTTTATTTTTTTGAGCAGTGTACTATATATGAAAACATTAAAAAAAAAAGTTATTATTAGTATAAATGACTAAAGTTACCATAGATGACCTGTTAATTACCTAAATTAATGAAGATTCCGGTAACTGCTAAATTACCAGTAGCTTTGCAACCCTAAGCGGCTCACTATTATTTATGATCAAAGGTTCAACCCTTGTCCAGACCTTTGCGTTGATTGAGGCATAAAGCTGAATGAATAGTCATAAGTGTTTAAAAAGGGGAAATAACAGATGCGCTATTATATGATACTATTATGATGGCCTTATGATAAATACACTACTATCAAGAGGGTATATCTGTGTTGAAAATGCTGCAGATCAGCAGATGCATGCTGACGGGAGGGAGGGTCATCTGTATGATCTACCCCTGTAACAAAGTGTTGTTATTGGCTGTGTTGTCTATTAAAGGTGTGGCAGATCCCTGATGGAGGGCTGACTGGACCAATGACAGAGCCCGTGGTGACACTGGAGGGCCACAGTAAACGGGTGGGAATCCTAGCCTGGCACCCGACAGCTTTCAATGTCCTCCTAACTGCAGGTAACTTAATCTATCTGCACCTCATTGTCGTACGTCAGAGCGTTGTTGGCAACGCATGGCAGAGGACAATGTCTGCACCTTAAACAGTGTATGTCTGCCTGCCAGTTTGGACTATCCAGGCCACTATTCACAGGCAATGCCTCCTATGTCAATGAATGTGTGTGGTTTAAGCTGCAAGGAAAGGTAGACTAGACATATTGATAGTATTGTGACACACTTTGGTCACCACCAGTCATGATAATGTGAGACTGCTTATGCAAGGACTTTTATTTTGATGTGTAATAGCTCCGTAGTCTGAGAAAGAGGACATTCGTTTTTTTGGGGGGAGGTGTTGCATGTAGTCACAACTGTAAATAGACATGCTGATAGTATTGGGACATAGCTTGGCAACGAGTCAGGTTAGCATGTAGTACTAGTCACTCATGTGTTGAACATTGGACCTCCAGAGAAAGCTAGTATGTAGTAGTCAGTAAACAGTGAGAGTTGAAGGACAGTTTTAAACATACTGGAGAGGTGTTCCATGACAGACCGTGTTTTCCTGCCTTGCAATTAACAGCATGTGCTGCACGTTTAAAGGAGAATGTGGTTAACGTTAACGTGAAACTGAGTATCCTTCAAGAGGGCATCAGAAGGTTTCAACATTTCAAAGAAATTGATTTGTCTATGTACAGTTGAAGTCGGAAGTTTACATACACCTTAGCCAAATAAATTTAAACTCAGTTTTTCACAATTCCTGACATTTAATCCTAGTAAAAATTCCCTGTCTTAGGTCAGTTAGGATCACCACTTTAATATGTCAGAATAATAGTAGAGAGAATGATTTATTTCAGCTTTTATTTCTTTAATCACATTCCCAGTGGGTCAGAAGTTTACATACACTCAATTAGTATTTGGTAGCATTGCCTTTAAATTGTTTAACTTGGGTCAAATGTTTTGGGTAGCCTTCCACAAGCTTCCCACAATAAGTTGGGAGAATTTTGGCCCATTCCTCCTGACAGAGCTGGTGTAACTGAGTCAGGTTTGTAGGTCTCCTTGCTCGCACACGCTTTTTCAGTTCTGCCCACAAATTTTCTATAGGATTGAGGTCAGGGCTTTCTGAAGGCCACTCCAATACCTTGACTTTGTTGTCCTTAAGCCATTTTGCCACAACTTTGGAAGTATGCTTGGGGTCATTGTCCATTTGGAAGACCCATTTGCATCAAAGCTTTAACTTCCTGACTGATATCTTGAGATGTTGCTTCAATATATCCACATAATTTTCCTTCCTCATGATGCCATCTATTTTGTGAAGTGTACTAGTCCCTCCTGCAGCAAAGCACCCCCACAGCATGATGCTGCCACCCCCGTGCTTCACGGTTGGGATGGTGTTCTTCGGCTTGCAAGCAACCCCCTTTTTCCTCCAAACATAACGATGGTCATTATGGTCAAACAGTTCTATTTTTGTTTCATCAGACCAGAGGACATTTCTCAAAAAAATACGATCTTTGTCCCCATGTGCAGTTGCAAACCGTGGTCTGGCTTTTTTATGGCGGTTTTGGAGCAGTGGCTTCTTCCTTGCTGAGCGGCCTTTCAGGTTATGTCGATATAGGACTCGTTTTACTGTGGATATAGATACTTTTGTACCTGTTTCCTCCAGCATCTTCACAAGTTCCTTTGCTGCTGTTCTGGGATTGATTTGCACTTTTCGCACCAAAGTACATTCATCTCTTGGAGACAGAACGCGTCTCCTTCCTGAGATCTTTTTTCTGAGTTCTTGGCTGATTTCTTTTGATTTTCCCATGATATCAAGCAAAGAGGCACTGAGTTTGAAGGTAGGCCTTGAAATACATCCACAGGTACACCTCCAATTGACTCAAATGATGTCAATTAGCCTATCAGAAGCTTCTAAAGCCATGACATCATTTTCTGTAATTTTCCAAGCTGTTTAAAGGCACAGTCAACTAAGTGTATGTAAACTTCTGACCCACTGGAATTGTGACACAGTTAATTATAAGTGAAATAATCTGTCTGTAAACAATTGTTGGAAAAATTACATATGTCATGCACAAAGTAGATGTCCTAACCGACTTGCCAAAACTATAGTTTGTTAACAAGAAATGTGTGGAGTGGTTGAAAAACAAGTTTTAATGACTCCAATCTAAGTGTATGTAAACTTCCGACTTCAACTGTATGTGTCTGTGTTACTTAGAATGGTATGTCTATACGTTTCGTCTGTGCCAGTAGTTGTATGTTTGTCTGCATTTTTATATGTTACGTCTCTGTGTATCCTTTTGATTATTTGAATGTTTTGCATATACATATTTATTTTGGTCCATACAACGATGTTGCGTTTTTAATATCTGTGAACTCTTAAAAATCAAATCAAAAGTAAAGGACAACTCCTGCACACATGATTTGACCACTTCACATTTATTGAGATCGACGTTTTGGTAAAATAAGCTCGGTAGCGTGCGTGTTAACCCTCTTCTGTGAACTTAGTTTTGTCTGTGCTTTCCCAGATTCTGTGTTTACGACTGTTTTTGACTGATGCAACTCTCTCTCGCTCTCAGGCTGTGACAACCTGGTGTGCGTGTGGGACGTGGGCACGGGGGAGCTGGTGTACCAGATAGCCGATGCCCACCCAGACCTGATCTACAGCGTGAGCTGGAACCGGGAGGGCAGTGCCATCTGCACCGTGTGCAAGGACAAGGCGCTGCGTGTCATCGACCCGCGACGGGGGACCGTCCTCAAGGTACATCTTGTCTATCCCATGTATGACACGCATGCAAATAAATTGAAATAAGTAAAATGAATAGTACCAAATACCATAAAACGTCCCTTATTATCCTTCAAGGAGAAATTGAAGAACACACAGCAGACCAAAGCAAATAAGCACCACCTTGTTCACATAATGTCCTTCCTATGAAAGAAAGCGACCTTTGCCTTGCTAAATTGGATGCAGCTAATCAGCACTTGTAAATACAGCATATTTGATATGTCTACATGAACTACAGTCTACTGGCTGTACATAGAATGACTTATTGACATTGACTCTACCTTCCCTTATAACACCTGTGATGTTGCTGTGTGTGTCTCAGGTGAAAGAGAAGGTCCATGACGGCACCCGGCCCATGAGGGCCGTGTTCCTCTCCGACGGGAAGATCCTGACCACAGGATTCAGCCGCATGAGCGAGAGGCAGCTGGCCTTGTGGGATACGGTATGGCGGATAGATGGATACATTTCATAAACAGGACTTTGCAGAGTCCTATGGGAGTGTATGGGACATTGACGCCTCAGAACCTATGCTCTGACTGTGTGGTAGAGGAGAGTGTTGAGCTCAGGGATCATGACAATACAGGTCAGGTCAACCCTGTTTATTTTCCCTTGACGCAGCACTGAGGGGTTCGCTACACACACTGACCAGATGTTCTAATGATTGTATCTGTGTGTTGCAGAGGGATATGTCTGAGCCAATGGCAGTGCAGGAGATGGACACCAGTAATGGGGTTCTCCTCCCTTACTATGACCCTGACACCAACATGGTCTACCTGTGTGGAAAGGTACAGTGAACCCATTTCCGACAACATTTTCAAGAACAAATTCAGCTGGCGGCATATGATCAGATCTCCCCCACCGGATGTTTGGTTTAGCCCCGTTTATCTGTTGATCACTCTCAGGGGGACTGCACCATCCGGTACTTTGAGGTGACGGACGAATCGCCCTATGTCCACTTCCTCAGCCTGTACAGCAGTAAAGAGCCCCAGCGAGGAGCAGGCTTTCTCAGCAAGAGGGGCGTGGATGTCAACAAGTGTGAGATTGCCAGGTGAATTACTTGAATTGTTTCTCAGTGTATTTGCTCTCTTTGTCACCCCTCCTTTCCCCCTCATACGTTCCCTCTTTCATGCCCTCCCACTGTAAATCATCTCTCTTGTCTTTCTCTCTTTCTCTCTCTCTTTCTCTCTCTCTCTCTCTCTCTCATTGCAGGTTCTACAAACTGCACGAAAGGAAAGTAGAGCCCATTTCTATGACAGTACCACGGAAGGTAAGCTGCCTTGCACACAATTTGAAACGAGGCCTTCCTCATTTATGACTATGTTCAAATGGCCATACTAGCACACCACTTACTAGCATGCCCAAAACATTGCTTTACACTAAGTGGCATGCTAATGTGGATATTGGAACCAGTCGCGCTTGACCAAGTTTGTCTCAAAACGATCTCCCTGTGACCCCCCTCCCTCTCTTGTCCCCTCAGTCAGACCTGTTCCAGGGGGACCTGTACCCGGACACGGCCAGCGTGGAGCCCTCCCTTCTGGCTGAGGACTGGATTGCCGGGCAGGACGCCCCGCCCCTGCTGGTCTCTCTGAGCGGGGGCTACGTGGGTGCCCCCTCCAAGAACAGGGACACCCTCCGGAACAAGCCTAAGCTGTCGCCGCAGGGCTCCGGGACGGACTCTCCCCCAGTCCCCTGGCAGGCCGCAATGCCCACCGCAACAACCAGGGAGCCGGAAAGCGAGGGGGTGGGGGTGGTGCAGCAGAGGGTCACTCAAGGAGAAGGAGCACCCGATAGGGTGAAAAGAGAGGTGAGAATGGAGTTTGGGTAAAAGAGGGTATAGCAGTAGGCATAGCAGGGGTGTATTCACTAGTGCAAAACGTTTTGTAACAGAAAACGTTTTGCGACAAGAACGAGAGTTTCTTATTGGTCAAGTTCAGGTTGTCCCTCCGTGTTTTGGTCTGTTTTCTTCAGTTTTGGTACGAATAAGAGGTTAGAGAAGTAGGTATGAGTACGGACATAGAAGTGCCAGAAAAGTGTTGAGTAGACTTATGTAGTGCCTTGTGGATTTAGGATGTTAACATGTATGTGACTACATTCTCCCTCTTAACCTCCGTCTCGCCCCATCCATCCATCCATCCATCCTTCCCCCCCGCTCCAGGAGGAGGTGCTGAGCGAGGTGCTAGCGGAGGTGAAGGCCCTGCGTTCAGTGGTCTTGGCCCAGGGCCAAAGGATCGAGATGCTGGAGAGGCAGCTGGTCCGCATTGAGGACGGGGACGTCTGATTGGCCGAGGGGCGTCACCACTACACCCAAAGGGCGTTCTTACTAAAACTCCATAGACCATAGCCTTACTAGAATCAACAACAGTACCTTAAGCTGTGTGGGAGTGGGAGGATGTAGTGAAGTGTAGCTCAGTTACTAAACTGTGTGAATCACAGAGGGGTCGAGAATATGGTGAACTATTATAGTGAAGGTGTACAGAGACCAATTGGATTCTGTGGGTGAATCTCAATTGTATTTCCTTGTTTCCTCGTGTCCTCTCTCCTCCTCAAAACGCATTGGAAGGAGGCATTGGAGGAGAATGTCAGAGGTTCCTACCCTCGGACCTTCTCCTCCAATGCGTTTTGAGAAGGGAGCGAGGAGGACACAAGGAAATACAATTGAGATGCACCCTACAACTCTTTAGATGCTGCTTCAGTTGGATAGTGGGTGATATAGGATGAAGGGGGATAATCTCCATAGGACTTCCATACTGCAGTAAGATATGTTACCGGTTTTTATTGAGGAGCATTGATGGTGACACTAGTTGAAGGTGTATACATTTAAGTATCCAATTATGTGTATCACTACAAAACTTAAGACATGAGGATTCAATTGTAGCCTACTCACGAATCCTTATGCCATACAGTATGACAACTGGCACAAAGGTCTATGTTAATTTGGCACATTTACAAAATGGCACATCTGTATACATTATTTTGTTTTATATGAATACACCCTCAATAAGTGATATCAAGTAGATAGGCAGATTTACAGTTCCTGCGCTCATTTAAGCACTCAGTGTGAATCCATTAGGGATTGTTTAATCGGGTAGTTAGAGCTGCTAATCGTGATGCATATCAAACGTCATACAACATTTTATTATTCATACTTATACATTTGTACATGTATGCATCTATACATTATTTCCATTCCGTCATAGGAATCTATTAACCTAGATTAGCTGAAGAGATGAAGTCAGACCATTGGTATTATCAATATAATCCTGTATGCTAAAATCGCTATACTGTTTACAAAACTGCACTGGTTAATTGCGATTGGATAAGTTGTATTAAACTGTGCTGGATGGCGACTATATTGACATATAAAGAAAAAACATTGGTCAATATCCAAATAATGTTGATTTTGATATGAAGTGCTTTTTCTTACAAATTATGTGAAGGACTTGAGTTGGAGGTAGCTTAAATGATTGCTATCATGTATGTTAGTCTCTTGTGTGATTTGTTTTTGTTTTTTTCGAAGAGAAGGTAACACTACATTTGTGCTCCCCAACTTAAGTTGTCTTGGGTGAATGATCCCCCTTTGGTGAAGCCAAAAGCAGACGGACGAGCAACATGCAGTATAATTTTTCACAAGGTGTTATAAGCTTATAACAGAGAGTTCAAGTAAAGTGTTACCTAAGAAAATGTGTTCTGAGTAGAACGTACTTAACGTCACACCATTTAAATCATAGCAGTTCTATGAGTGTCATGAGGCACAGAACTAAAAAATAGTTGTATTTATTGTTTGAATGATGTAATCCAAGTCAGTAGAACGAAATAGAATTGTCTTAGACCAGTGGTATTCAATTTTGTTCAGCGGGGATCCCATTTTTTCCACAATAATTTCTCACAACCCCACCCCAAAACCAATGACAACCTTAAAATCTGTACATTATGATTTTTACATCCACAACCATCCACAATACATTTACTCAATAAAATTGTATTTTCAAGTTATCGTTCTCAAAAACATTTGTAAATTGTCCCATACAATAATCTGTAATCTTACCCCCAAAAATGTGGCGACCCCACTGCAGTTCGACACAGACTTTGAATACCCCACTGTCTTAGACCAATATAGCACCAGCTGTTGTATTTGAAGATAGGAAAGAAAGGGCATAAAATGCTCCGCTGTTAGATGGAACAGAAAAATAATTCACTGTGTTACATTTTGATTTTTTTGCATTTATAAGCAGTTTATACTTCACCCTTTTGCAGCCTCTGGTACAGTTCACATCTAGCCTGATCCCAGATCTGCTTTAGGCTGTATTGTCGACAGTGACCACAGGAGTAGGCGAGACGGCACAAACAGGTCTGGCACCAGGCTAGTTCACATCAGGCTCTTCACATGATTAATTGATTTACTTGATTAATATTTATTTATGCACTGTCATACTACACACCATGTTTTGTGTGTGGTTGTGAACCAATAGGGGATGAAAATGACACTCCACTGTGTGAATATTCCAATAAACAGTCCTCCTTCTTTTGCGGTTGTAGAATGGCCACTTATTAACCCTCTCAGGTCACATGACAGGAAGTCATCGCTGTAAATGAAATTACTTCATAAGCCAGTGTATTGACACACCAAAAATAGAAAAGTGAGTATACAAAACATTTCCATGACATAGACTGACGAGGTGAACACTAGGATCCCTTATTGATGTCACTTCAATCAGTTTAGATGAAGGGGAGGAGACAGGTTAAAGAAGGATTTTTAAGACTTGAGACATGTATTGTGAATGTGTGCCATTTAGAGGGTGAATGGGAAAGACAGAATATTTAAGTCCCTTTGAACGGGGTATGGTAGTAAGTGCCAGGCGCACCGGTTTGACTGTGTCAAGAACTGCAATGCTGCTGGGTTTCTCACTCTCAACAGTTTCCCGAGTGTATCAAGAATGGTCCACCACCCAAAGGACATCCAGCCAACTTGACACAACTGTGGGAAGCATTGGAGTCAACATGAGCCAGCATCCCTGTGGAACGCTTTCGACACCTTGTAGAGTCCATGCCCTGACAAATTGAGGCTGTTCTGAGGGCAAAAGGAAGGTGTTCCTAATGTTTTGGACTCTGTGTATACAACCAGTAGTACAATTATTTCATTTCATAATAAACACAGATCATGAATGTTTATGATACACTGTGTAACCCAGTGGTTATCTTGTGTTATCATACAGGGTAAAGCAAGCGTGCTGCTGAAGCTATTCTGATTGGTTCCTCAGCTCAGAGAAAAGGGCTTCTTTGGAAAGAACTCAATGAAATTCTGCATTACAAATGGACTATCAAGTGTAGTCCTCCCACAACATTATTGCTGAAATTAAATTAAAATAAATTAAGAGGTCAGACAGCGCATTTGTTAGTAGGTTTTAAGCATACAGAATCTGTATGGTTCCCCAGTAGTTTATGGTGTTGTGTTTGTACTAGCCAGTGGAGCACATAACAGGATGTGGTTCAAGGCTGAAAGTGCATCAGCTCTGTGCATCTCTTTTGAACCTGCCTGTGTTCCACCATTCATTTCCTGCTTCTGGGCTCTGCAGTGTCAGCTGAGTGGTTCTGCATAAACCCAACTCTAACCATGTATTCACTGTGGAAAAAAAAGAAAATATGTATAAATCGTATTTGTGTAAGTATGGATAGAACAAAATGGGACCTGATGCAACTCAAATACATCTCACATCTCACTTGTTCAGGCTGCATTTAGGTAGGTCCAGTTAGTTTAATCCACTCTATGGGTTCATTAGACCCTATGCATCTGTGAACTTTGAACTTTGCAGGTAAAGTATGTTCATACTGTAGGTGGGTTCCTTTGCAGCTGTTCATTCCCTAGATATTGGATAACCTTACCCTGCACACCAACTGCCACACCTTCTGTCATACATGAAAGCACTGCACCTTCCTCTTTCTATATTTGGGTGCACATTTGCTAATCTCTGCGCATTACTCTCTCTCTCTGTCTGTCTCTCTCTCTCTCCACCCACATTATATCCCCCTCCCGCTCAATTTTTTACAGGCCCTTCTATAAATGTATGCATCCCCCTCTCTTAAAAGAAGTTCCACCACAGACACGCCTGTGTTCTTGCTTCAGCTTTGGGTGTCTGTTAGTCTTTTTCAAAACCATCCTAAAGCATGTTCATTTAAAGCAAGACATTGGTGAGTTGTATTTATTTTTTTAATCTATTGACCATAATTCAAATTTCCTATTTTGTATCTGAGATTTGTCTTATCTTTCCACTCTCTCTATGTCCATCCTTCAGCTTCACACTCTCCTCCTGATCTCTTTCCACATCTCCTCCTCACTTCCCTACCACCACTGTTTCTCTCCTTCCATGTTGTCTTTATTTTCTCTGTCACACCAAATCTTTGTCTGTGTCCCTTTTTATTGTATTTACTTTCAGAACTGTGAGTAAGAATCTGCATTTGGGTCTAAAGGGTGTAGTTAATACTTCCATATCAAGTGGGCATTTGATTTAAACGTTTACATTATCTGTACTAATTAATGGTGCAGAAGTAATAGACATATAAACAGATGGAGTATGTTAACTGCACATTGCACAGTGGGATCTTTATTCATCTATGCTCTGTGCCAATACTGTACCATGACTGCCTATGCCATGTGAAAACATGTAAGGGTAAATGTTCAAAATATGCCTTTAGGCTTACTGGCTGGTTTGTCATATGCATAAATGTAAAGGCATTGTAGGATGTAGAAAGAGAGAGAAATGATTGACTATCATATTTTGCATAATCTAATTGGTAATCTAGTTGGGATTAGCTGTGCTTTGTTGATAACTTTCATAAAATGAGCAGAATGTCACATTTGTACGCCATATGAAACAACAAGTCCACTACATGAATCCCATTGCATTCATGTATGAACTATAAATATTGATTAGTCTTTATTTATTATATTAAATTAGTGTTCAATGTGTCAGCTATCCACACAGGCCAGGGGGGGAGAACAGGTGCACTTATTGCAAAACGTACATTTTTTAATAATTTGTTGATTCTGACAGACATCCATACCTATGTACACTACCAGTCAAACGTTTGGACATACCTACTTATTCAAGGATTTTTCTTTATTTTTTTACAATTTTTTACATTGTAGAATAATAGTGAAGACATCAAAACTATGAAATAACACATATGGAATCATGTAGTATACAAAAAAGTGTTAAACAAATCAAAATATATTTGAGATTCTTCAAATAGCCACCCTTTGCCTTGATGACAGCTTTGCACACTCTTGGCATTGGAATGCATTTCAATTAACAGGTGTGCCTTCTTAAAGGTTTGAGCCAATCAGTTGTGTTGTTACAAGGTAGGGGGGTATACAGAAGATAGCCCTATTTGGTAAAAGACCAAGTCCATATTATGGCAAGAACAGCTCAAATAAGCAAAAAGAAACGACAGTCCATCATTACTTTAAGACATGAAGGTCAGTCAATCCGGAAAATGTCAAGAACTTTGAAAGTTTCTTCAAGTGCAGTCGCAAAAACCATCAAGCACTGTGATGAAACTGGCTCTCATGAGGACTGCCACAGGAATGGAAGACCCAGTGTTACCTCTGCTGCAGAGGATATGTTCATTAGAGTTACCAGCCTCAGAAATTGCATCCCAAATAAATGCTTCACAGAGTTTAAGTCACAGACACATCTCAACATCAACTGTTCAGAGGGGACTGTGTGAATCAGGCCTTCATGGTCGAATTGCTGCAAAGAAACCACTACTAAAGGACACCAATAATAAGAAGAGACCTGTTTGGGCCAAGAAACACGAGCAATGGACATTAAACAGGTGGAAATGTGTCCTTTGGTCTGGAGTCCAAATTGGAGATTTTTGGTTCCAACTGCCGTGTTTTTGTGAGACGTGGTGTGGGTGAACGGATGATCTACGCATGTGTAGATCCCACCATAACGCATGGAGGAGGAGGTGTTATGGTGTGGGGGTGCTTTGCTGGTGACACTGTCTGTGATTTATTTAGAATTCAAGGCACACTTAACCAGCATGGCTACCACAGCATTCTGAAGCGATATGCCATCCCATCTGGTTTGCGCTTAATGGGACTATCATTTGTTTTTCAACAGGACAATGACCCAACACACCTCCAGGCTGTGTAAGGGCTATTTTACCAAGAAGAAGAGTGATGGAGTGCTGCATCAGATTACCTGGTCTCCACAATCCCCCAACCTCAACACAATTGAGATGGTTTGGGATGAGTCGGACCGCAGAGTGAAGGAAAAGCAGCCAACAAGTGCTCAGCATATGTGGGAACTCCTTCAAGACTGTTGGAAAAGCATTCCAGCTGAAGCTGTTTGAGAGAATGCCACGAGTGTGCAAAGCTGTCATCAAGGCAAAGGGTGGCTATTTGAAGAATCTCAAATATAAAATATATTTTGATTTGTTTAACACTTTTTTGTTTACTACATGATTCCATATGTGTTATTTCATAATGTTGATGTCGTCACTATTATTCTACAATGTAGAAAATAGTAAAAATAAAGAAAAACCCTGGAATGATTAGGTGTGTCCAAACTTTTGACTGGTACTGTATATAATAGTTCCCCCCCCCCCCCAAAAAAAAAGTTGTTTACAATGGTGCCCTGAGGACAACAATACAACAAATTCAAAACGATCAATAAAAATAAAATAAACTACAATTCACAGATTCACCACTACAACTTCAAACACCACAAATACAATTATTTACATTGAATCCAAACAGTTGCAATTCACATTAAATTCATTCAACAATAAAGTCCTAAACTGCCATAGAGGCACAAGAGTTTTGTAGGCTATTCCAAAAATGGGGGCCACTAAAACTGAAGGTGGATTTACCTAGATCAATATGTACTATTGGAACCTCGAGAGGTAACCATCCCTGTGAACGGGTTTGATGTCTCATATTATTTTTTTTAACAGTGAAGTGAGGTAGGTTGGAAGCTTGGGTAGTAGAGCTTTGTAAATAAAAAGGGAGTAATGAAGTGATCTACGGGACTTTAATGAGGATCAGCCAACCTTTTGATACAGGATGCAGTGATGCATATTAAAACCGTCACCTGTGATAAAGCGAAGGGTGCTATGGTAGATGGAAATATATGTGGCGAAAATGTAGATTCTCCTGGAGAAAAAAAATCCTAACTTTATCCTGTACAAGTAACTGTTATAATTATTCAACAGGAAGTGAGCAAGACGGAGAGAGAGAGAGAGCATATGATGGCTTCCTGTTAGTGAGTCACTCAGGCAGAATCATGGCCTCACAGACATTTCCTGTGTCTGAATGTGTGGGATGCTGCATCTACAGTGACAGTACACTGTACAGCACAATATAAAAATGACATGGCACATCAACTACCATGAAATGACACTTGTCAGAACCATTCAGAATCAGTCATCGTGACACCTAACTATACACCTCGGTGGTGTCATGACACATTTATTTTATTATGTTTCAGGCTGCATTCAAAACCAGCCTCACTTTATCTTGTAAAACATTATTTATTTTTAATAATCTACATTTCCGCCACATATATTTCTTTAAGGTGTAATTATCTGTATTAAAGATTTTGCTGCATGGATATTGACATTTTTTGGGCAGTACGAAACTAATGTTCCATATGCTTTATTTACAGATCCAGTAATAAGTCTATGAATGGATCAGCTCCAATTGATTTTTCCCCCCCAGTAAACTGGATCTCCTTCACGGCAGAGTTTGGCCTTGGATTCCTTCAACTTTTCTGAGAATTATTTGAAGAGGTATGTTGCGACATCAAATCTATCTGAACCCGTTCACCCCAATAATTATGGTTATGAAATTCTGAGAGGATTTATTTTGTTCTAATAAGAGGCCAAGCATGACTGGACTTGAACAGCTTTAGAATAAGATACTTGTATTTTGTGACCGTCAAGGTAGGGTCAATTCCATTTCAATTCAGTTTGACAATTGAAATGTAATTGTTATAGTGCAGATCAGGCCAAGCAAACACTTCAGGATCCGAATCAGACAGACAGTGTAAACCCCCTTAGATCCAGATTACTTTGTGATCTGATCCCAACCAAATGTCCCTGTCAAATGTCAGTCTAAACAGTCTTTCCAATCTTACTCTTCCATTTTAGGATGACAGGGATAGAAGACAAAACCACATCCACCAGCAACGTCTTGACCGTCTTCTTCATCCTGGTCTTCCTTGTTTGCCTCCTGGTCTGCCTGTACAAGTGGCTGAACCGCCAGACTAATGGCCAGTACACAGTCCGCCAACTGGTCTATAAGGAGGATGGGGCCAGGGACCATATCATGGGTTGGGTCAGAATCCTGGAAGTGCGGCTTGGGCGCCGGCTGTGGCCTCTCGGCGAGGATGAGGAGGCTGTAGGAGAGGAGGAAGACAGAAACGAAGAGAGGGATGTGGAGAGAGGGAACGAGGGAAGGGAAAGTGAGGGGGAGGAGGAGGGGGATGAGAGGGAATGCGGAGGGGATGACTCGTCGGATGACTACTCCAGCATGGAGGGCTGTGACCTGAGGGAGAGAGCGAAGCTCACGCACGAGAAGGAAGAGATTAGAGAGCGTGAGGGGAAGAGAGAGGAGAATATGGAGGAAAAGTGGGAAAGCAAAGAGGATGGAGAGAGTGATGAGAGAGCAGTGGGAGGAGAAGAAAGTAGAGGAGGAGGTTTGCTGATAGACCTGAATCAGTTATCTGGTAGTGCCATCTGGTCTGAAGATAGGAGTGAGGGAGACAGAGACAAGGATAATGTGACTGCATTGTGAGGGAAGGATCAGAGAGGGAAAATTGTTCCATATTTCTTTCCATTTACATTTGCATTTACGTCATTTAGCAGACGCTCTTATCCAGAGCGACTTACAAATTGGTGCATTCACCTTATAGCCAGTGGGACAACCACTTTACAATGTTCATCTTTGTACAGCAATAGTGCTTGACAGTAGGCTTTGTCATCATCATAATCATAATTGTCAATTGTAAACCTTACAAACCAGTGTTACAACCAGATTACAACAATCAGAGCAAAGAGCAACTGAGACAAAAGTGTGTGAAAGAATACATCAAAGTGAATAAAGTGACTGACAAGAGCAACAATTGCAGCATGAATACATGAAACAATATGAATGTATTTGAGATATAAAAAGCTTTTTTAAGGGTTTCATATGATAAAGAACATGTTTTGGGTGCAACTGTTTTCTGCATTAGTCTTGTTGCTGTGGGATTATTTGTAATGTATACATTTGTGTTTTGTATATTTTATGAATAGCTATTTAGGTAACGCCTTACTTTGTGCTATAATATGTTCAATGTCTGTTGTGCGTGATTATTTCGATAGAAAATAGTGAATTGGAGCCTGTCCTGCCTGCCAGAGAGCCATGGGCCGAACTTTTCAGTCACCCACCCAAACTCCAATTAACGTTAGTCTTTATTAATTTACATTAATTTAGGACTACACGTTCATACTCTGATTATTATCCGATAAAACGTAAAATATAAAAGTGTGCTTGTATTGCAATAAAGGGCCTAATTCAAATGATTACTTCAGTGTTTTTATAAAAGAATCACATACAATAATTGGTGTGTAATACTTTCAAGTTTTTAAATCATAAATATAATTTCAGATCACCTAGTCTAGCTGAGATTGACCTGTTGCAATTTTTATATTCACTTTTTGAAGACCCTTTTACAGGAAATGGGGATGTAGCTCAGTGGTAGAGCGCATGCTTCGCATGTATGAGGCCCCGGGTTCAATCCCCGGCATCTCCACAATTTTATTTACTGAAAATGTTACCTTATACCTATTGTCTAACCAACAATGAATTATTAATTACAATACTAAGTGATGATTCGGAGTTAAACTCATTCTACCACATGAAAACAGTTAATTATGTGCTTCATTGTCCGCTCAGTCATGGGCGGAGCTTTGGGCCTTGCTTCTGGAATTTGATTGGCTACGTTACCTCTTGCTGATAGATAGATAGGGCTGGGTGAAATCACTGGGTGAAATGCTTGTCAACATTTTGTGAGAAATATTTTTTGGCCCGGGGACGGCTCACGGAATTATTTCCAGTTGTCCCTCGCATTTAAATGCAACCCACTCATAAAACCAAGACACATCATGGACCAATTGCACGACATGGCTATGCAGGCTTTCGTAGAGATTCAAACAAATAGCCTAAACACATTTTCTCGCAACAACAGCCTTGGGTTTGCAATACTTTAGGCAATATTTTCTAACATAACGAGATGGATAATCGCTAAACCAACAATACCCTAGCCTACACTGGATTGGCTTTGATTGAAGGTAGCCTACGGAAGGCGAACTAAAAGTACCCGGCATTGGTAAATATGTCTATATTGATTTACTTTAGGCTATAGCCTACCTACAAATAAACCAATAGGCCTAAAATGTGAAGGATATACAGTGGAATAAAGCCGTGGAACTCTCGACAGTTAGTGGATTTTTGGTTTTTCCAGTGACCAGTGGACGCTCACTGCGTATCTGTTAACGTTACATTGTATTAAAATAACGCCATGAGAAATTCAGATAGGCTACATTGTCGCAAAATGAAACCACTTGTTACAGTAACCCACTTTATCGATGTATGATGTAGCCTATCCATCCTATCACTTCAGCGCACCACCACAGCATCTTCACACACCCAAACTGATTGTGCCATATAAATGATTTCAGTAGCCTAACCTACACGCCATTTTTTCTGAATACAGACTAAAATGCAAGGAACCTGCTTGTTCCCGCCTATGCTAAACGATTCTAATGATTTATTGATTCGCTTGAACAAAGGAACGAAATATTGATGTACCTGTACAGGATATCAACATGGAAGGTAGGCTCCACGTACAGTTGGACAGAGCAACATTGTTATTATAGACTAATTATATCTCGATAGCCTATCCTAGCTTGCAAATGGCTCAAGATGGATGCAGCGGCGCACTGATATGTACGTAACATAGGACATCTTCAAAAGAAAAACACCTAAAAATGCATTTGTGCTATTTTATTTTGCAGGCGTAGGATGTTACTAGCGTCGGCCGTGGTGGTATGGGAATGGCTGAACGAGCACGGGCGCTGGCGGCCTTACAGCCCGGCCGTCTCTCACCACATCGAGGCAGTCATCCGCAACGACCCAAGGGGTGGTAGTGTTGTCTTAGGCCAGGTGGACACTCGCCTCTCGCCCTACATCATTGACTTGCATTCCATGCACCAGTTCCGACAAGATACAGGTAAGATTAATGTGATTGATGACCATGACAAATGTGTATTGAGGGAATGTGAATATAGGCCCTATGCTATTACAGTGTTATTACCGCAGTGAAACCGATGATGTAGCATAGGCCTACAACATATCACTGCAATAGCCTGCACTATCCAGTTACCGCATAGAACCAAAATAATATGGTTTAATAAACGCCTTTATGTTCTTGTTTGATAGGCTACCACATCTTATGCAGACTAGCCTATGTGTGCATGTACAATTGTGGACTGTTGTTGTTCACAGATATTTTTCAAGGTCTTGTTTGTTAACTGCCTCCATTATCCCAAACAAAGAGCTTATTTTATGTTTTTCTCATGATCATGTGTTTTGAATTTCACAAGATTCTTTCAGCATCATCACTGTTATCATTTTTCGATTTTGGATCTGCATAACATGGGGTAGGGGCGGAAGTGTAGCCTATATATATATATATATATATATATATATATATATATGAGATAGAGAGAGGAAGTCAAATTGGAGGGGGACGAGAACCCTAAGTATCCTGCATCACTTCCTTGTTGCTAGTAGCTGATTTTGTGCCCCCTCTCTCAGCCTCTTGCAAGTGTGGTCCGCAAAGGCTTGGGATATGCACTCTTAGAAAAAGAGGTGCTATCTAGAACCTAAAAGGGTTCTTCGGCTGTCCCCATAAGAAAATACCAACAAAATAAATACAAAATTGTCAAGATCCTTAAAAGTGCTGAGAATGTTCCAAAGCCAAGCAACTATCCTGCACCATTCCCAGAAAGTTGTGGGAAAGTTGTATGCAAAATAATCATAGGACAACCACACTCTCACCAAACTCTAAGAAACATATGGTTCTCAGAACATTATGTGCTAGCTGGGCAGTGACTCACTGCTGAGTATTGCCACACTGTACACTCACAGCCTTTGAGGTAGTGAGCACAGAAGACGAACCACCTTCCAGTCTTACTGTATGTATTCAATATACGGTAGACTCCAGAGGCCGTATGTATCAAGTGTCCCAGTATAAGAGTGCTGATTTAGGATCAGTTTTCCTTTTAGATCACAATAAAAAAAAGATTGCATGGACAGGGGGGACCTGATCCTAGATCAGCACCCCTACTCTGAGACGCTTGATACATATGGCCCCTGATAAGTGAAAACTGTTTGAGCACGCTTAAGCGCAGTTTTCCAGGCCCAATTCAGTTGCTTTCCAGATATTTCCATATATTTATTTTCCGATACCAGCATGCTCCAGTGTAGTGCATGATGTCATGGCACACTCTTAGAAAAATGGGTTCCAAAAGGGTTCTTTGGATGTCCCCATAGGGTAACCCTTTTGGGTTCCATGTAAAACCCTTTCCACAGAGGGTTCTACATTTGCCGGTCAGGAAACGTATGGCTTCGTTCCCACAACCAATGTGAAACCAAAAACATACATGCCCACAACTTCCAAGGTACCAAATGTGCTAGCTGGGTGGTTGTAGTGTGTGAGTGGACATCTACAGTATATGTAGGGCACAGTTATGGATGAGCTGTTCTCATTATGAGTTATTATGCAAAACATGATCATGAATAAAGATGAGAAGGTTGAGGGGAAATTGGCATCGATTTTAGTTTGTTCCCCCTTTGATCTCAAGAACATTGTTTTTGGCGTTATTCCGCATTGATCAGTAAGTAGAACATCAAATAATTTGTGTTTTGGTGGAAGCAGAGGGTAGCCTACACACTACTTTATCTCACACTCTTTCATGACACATACCCAAATCATGCATACAAATGCCTGCAATCCTGGATTTGGTTCACATTCACAGTGCAACTGCAAATCTCACATGCTTTCTCGTGAGCAGCAAATATCCAAATTAGAACTACTGTATTTACTCTCACCTATGACTGGCTATCTGAATAGAGAGAATGTAGGTGAAATGCTATCTTAACCCTACTTCACCCCAAAACTCTCCCTTATGTGCTTCTTATTAAGGCTGTTAGTGCTATTCTGTAGCATGGTACTGATTGTATCCAGCCCTCCAGACAGAGAGACGTCTTCACACAATGAAGTGAGGAAAGTATGCGACAACACAAAGGGAAGAATTGTCAGACGCCTTAACTTTGACTCTGCCACCCTCCTCTACACTTTGGCTGACAAAAACTTTGGTGCAGTCTGAGTGCTTCCCAGACCGGGATAGCTGTGGGGAGAGAGGGGGTAGGGTGCCCCAGTCCCAAAACCAGAGGGAGGGAAATGAGAAGGAGGGGGTGAGATGAATTGCAGAAGTCTGAGGTCATTGAGAGAAAAGGGGGTAGTTGGGTTGAGTTCAGATACGATGAAAGAATTACTCTGTTGTATTCCAGGCAATGTTGTGTGTATTACAAATGTCTATTACAGACAAGACTAAGTATATTCATGTATGTTTTTCAAGTATATTTTACATGCAAACCTTATTGTTTTGAACAGAAAACGGTGTTTCTAGATACATTTATATTGGGTTATGTCATTTTATTTGAAGCTTTATTTTTCTATTCCAGCTTGGCTTCTCAAGCACTCTCTGGATTTATTCTCTCAAAACGTGTTCTTCGTTAAAACAAGCAACCGTCATTCATTGTCTGCCAGTCATGCTCACTTTAATAAGACTTTTTGGGAGTATAAATGAGTTAAACCCAGGATTAGAAATTAGTTGAATCCCAGGTAATAGGAGGACAGTTGATATGGACTGGGCTTTATTGAAAACCCAGGATTAGAAATTCGTTGAATCCCAGGTAATAGGAGGACAGTTGATATGGACTTTATTGAACATTCGTGGATTTAAGTCTCTGGACTGGGAAAGCAAACATGACCAGCTCTGAGCCCGACCAAGGCCAGCAACCAATCACAATCCAGAACAGGGTGTGCTGTTACCAGGGGCAACCTGTTAGCCTGTTTGCCCAAATTCCTAGCGAACACACACCCGATTTGTCAAATTTGGTGGTGGTGTAATCTGCTTGTCTACAACAATTATTACAGCAGGGCCTAGAGAACATTTAGCTCATCTGCACTCTTAGAAAAAAGTGTTCCAAAAGGGTTCTGTGGCTTTCCCCATAGGATAACACTTTTTGGTTCCAGGTAGAACACTTTTTGGTTCCAGGTAGAAATAACCCTTTTTGGTTCCAGGTAAAAAATAACCCTTTTTGGTTCCAGGTAGAAAGAACCCTTTTTGGTTCCAGGTAGAACCCTCTGTGGAAAGGGTTCTACATGGAACCCAAAAGGGTTCTATCTGTAACCAAAAGGGGTTCTCCTATGGGGACAGCTGAATAACCCTTTTTGGTTCTAGATGGCACCTTTTCTGTTGGTCTCAGTCAACCAAGCCTAATTAAAAAACATACCTTTTTATTCATGCTTTAGTTTTCTTTCACTTGAACAGGTCATATCAATAGTCATTTGTGTCAATATATGTATATTACTGAACTGTGCTACAAATGTCATCAGTGTTGTGAACAAATGTGGTTAGTTGAAAGGTCTTCTGGAACAGGTCCTTCTTGTGTTCCCCTCTCTGTAGTTCTGTGGCGTGACCCTCGTCTCTCTACCGTTACCCCAGGTACCCTCCGACCGGTGCGTCGCAGCTTCTACGACCCCACGTCGGCACCGGGCCAGGGCTGGCTGTGGGAGTGGGAGAACGACACAGGCTCGTGGACGGCCTACGACACTGAGGTGGGCATCGCCATCCAGGCGGCACGCGACCGTCAGCAGCCCTGGCTGGACCTGGCGCCACTGGGCTTCTGCTACCTCATCGACTTCCAGAGCATGACCCAGATCAACGGGCAGACGCAGCGCTGCCGCCGCATCCAGCGCCGCTCCGACCTGGCCTACCCTCTGGTGTCGGGGCCCCTTCCCAAGTCACACCATGCCTGGGGGCCCGGCCCTGGAGGACTGCTGGGGGTGGGGGTTTCCGGAGTGGGCATGGGGAATGGGAACGGTAGCGCCTACCCCAGCGGCGCCCTGCCGGCCTCCGCCATCACATCGCTGGGCCAGCCCTGCGCCTGTCAGCAATGCATGCTGGTCCTGAGCATCAAGGCAGGCACCATTGCGACGGCTCACACCCTGGGCAGGAGGCCACCTCAGAACAAGCCACCCAGCCCCAAACTAGGGGGTGGTTACTCGGCCATGGGGGGGTCGTACTCGCTGACTCTCCCCCGCCCCCCCTCCTCCATGGCCAGGTCCTTGTCCCCCCACAGGACGTCAGCGGGTGGGGCTAGTGGTGGTGTGGGGGTCGGTGGGGGCGGCGGCTTTGCCCACTCGCTCTCCCTCCTGGGTTCGGCCACCGCCGCACTCTCCCTCACCTCCACCCGGCCCCCTCCCCCGCCTCTACCCCCCCTTCCGCCTCCGCCCTCCTCCCTCGCTTCCAGTGCCATTCTTCCCCCCTCCTCTTCCTTCTCCATGGCGTCCTCCGCCCTTCCGTCGATGCCCGCGCCGGCCCCTCCTCTTCTCATCTCCACGGCAGCCTCCTCCTGCACCCCCTCGCCCTCCGCCCGTGTCCTGGGGCCTGTGTCTTCAGCAGCGGCGGCCTATGCAGCCCCCCTGCCACCTCGTGCCAGCCTGGCCGGGCTGAGCCGACCCGCCCTGCAGCGCATCGCCATGGCCCAGTCCAGAGCCCTCATCGCCTCCGGGTGAGTCACTCTTCCAGCTGTTGTTATGTCACTACAGTTCACAAAAATTACACATCTGTGTATCTCTTTATGAAGTATTTCTGTCTATCGCTATCCCTATGCCACAACAAAGCACACTCAATATAACGCACGTCTAGTGATTTTGAAAGGTATTTGTGCTGTGAGTGACCCCCCCCCCCAAAAGCTTTTAGAATTGTCTGTCTACTTTTACAGTCCAGTCTCTTGCCATAACCCAAAACAAGTAAGTTGTGACCACCCAAACATTGATCTATACGACCTGCAAAATGGACAAGAAGATGGATGGACTATGAGCCCTGTTTATGTTGTTAATACATAGTTATGTATCTTCTGAGAATCTCCATTGAACATACAGTACCAGTCAAATGTTTGGACACGCATACTCATTCCAGGGTTTTTCTTTATTTGTACTATTTTCTACATTGTAGAATAATAGTGAAGACATCAAAACTATGAAATAACACATATGGAATCATGTAGTAACCAAAAAAGGGTTAAACAAATCAAAATATATTTGAGATTTGAGATTCTTCAAAGTAGCCACCCTTTGCCTTGATGACAGCTTTGCACACTCTTGGCATTCTCTCAACCAGCTTTATGAGGTAGTCACCTGGAATGCATTTCAATTAACAGGTGTGCCTTGTTAAAAGTTTAATTTGTGGAATTTCTTTCCTTCTTAATGCGTTTTGAGCCAATCAGTTGTGTTGTGACAAGGTAGGGGGTATACAGAAGATCGCCCTATTTGGTAAAAGACCAAGTCCATATTATGGCAAGAACAGCTCAAATAAGCAAAGAGAAACGACAGTCAATACGGAAAATTTCTTGAAGAACCATCAAGCGCTATGATGAAACTGGCTCTCATGAGGACCGCCACAGGAATGGAAGACCCAGAGTTACCTCTGCTGCAGAGGATAAGTTTGTTAGAGTTACCAGCCTCAGAAATTGCAGGCCAAATAAATGCTTCACAGAGTTGAAGTCACAGACACATCTCAACATCAACTGTTCAGAGGGGACTGTGTGAATCAGGCCTTCATGGTTGAATTGCTGCAAAGAAACCACTACTAAAGGACACCAATAAGAAGAAGAGACCTGCTTGGGCAAAGAAACACAAGCAATGGACATTAGACCGGTGGAAATTTGTCCTTTGGTCTGGAGTCCAAATTTGAGATTTTTGGTTCCAACCGCCGTGTCTTTGTGAGACGCGGTGTGGGTGAACGGATGATCTCTGCATGTGTAGTTCCCACCATAAAGCATGGAGGAGGAGGAGGAGGTGTTATGGTGTGGGGGTGCTTTGCTGGTGACACTGTCTGTGATTTAGAATTCAAGGCACACTTAACCAGCATGGCTACCACAGCATTCTGCAGCGATACACCATCCCATCTGGTTTGGGCTTAGTGGGACTATCATTTGTTTTTCAACAGGACAATGACCCAACACACCAGCCTGTGTAAGGGCTATTTGACCAAGAAGGAAAGTGATGGAGTGCTGCATCAGATTATGTGCTCAGCATATGTGAGAACTCCTTCAAGACTGTTGGAAAAGCATTCCAGGTGAAGCTGGTTGAGAGAATGCCAAGAGTGTGCAAAGCTGTCATCAAGGCAAAGGGTGGCTATTTGATTAATCTCATATATATTTTGATTTGTTTAACACTTTTTGGGTTACTACATGATTCCATATGTGTTATTTCATAGTTTTGATTTCTTCACTATTATTCAACAATGTAGAAAATAGTACAAATAAAGAAAAACCCTTGAATGAGTTGGTTTGTCCAAACTTTTGGCTGGTACTGGACAGTTTTCTTTCTGAAGACAAGGGAATTTCAGTGTTGAGAAAGAGATTTAGTGATGTTATGAAGCCTATGCAATGGGTAATCCCACCACAAAAACACGGTGGACTACACCCGACATAGGGACGTGTCTCTCGCAGATAAACACGACACAAGGTATGAAAAACAAGGATACACAAGGAATTTAAACATTTTGATCTGAAGCGTTTCCACTGGCGTAGACATTCCTCCATAATCACTCCCCATATCTGACATAAACACCCCATTAGCATTCATAAACCTTTAATCCTTATGACAAATTCTGTCAGCCTGTTCATTTCTATGTGAAATTCCATAACGCATTCATATCAAATACGCCGCATTTTCACGAGTGCCACTCAGATTTGATTCACCCAGTTTGAGAGTCAGGAGGGTGGATGGGGATGGGGGTGGGGGTGGGGGGCTTGGGGTCAGCATAGTACTCTTAGAACATGTATAGATTGACCCCCCCCAGTACTCTCATGACATGCTTAGTACTACTGTCGTAATACTGACATCTTGCCTACACACTCAGTTCCCAGGCCTATTCTCATTCCTAGAGGCCCCTCTGCCCCCGCTAGTGTGTGTGTCAGGGTGCGGTCTCCGTGGCAACCATTGTGGGCACAGCCGAGGCCTGGTTCCCATTTCCAAAACAATGCTGGGGCATGGACAGAGGCGGGGGGCTCTCAGGGCTGGGGGTATGAGGGGAACTCAACGCTATAGTGACTGCTGTCCCATTTGTTACCCTGAGAAGCCGAAGCTGCGTGACTATGTCCTATGGGACTGTTTGTTGGGGAGTTGGCCCTGAGAATGAATGTGACATTGATATGGGGGTGGGACTGGGGGTGATTTGGAGACATGAGACTTGTTGACAGGGGAAGTTTGGTTGAGGAGGGATTGGGAAGGGGGAAGAGGGGATGGAGGTTGTTAGAGGCAGACGTCTCCAGTCTTGTAGACACAAAGCAGCGTCTCAGTTTGAGATGTGTGCCCAGTGCCTGGGGGACTCGGTTTAGACAACTACCATATTGATTTCACCAACCCTATCCTTTCAGAGGGGCCATTGAGAAGTGTCTAGGGTTAGGGACTTGGGGTGATGCCATTCTGAGCCACTACCCAAGCACTTGTGTAGATCGGAAAGGATAGGAGAGATGGGTTTAAGAAATATGATAATAGCGCCATATCTCCTGTCTAATGTTTTCACATCTGTGCATAGGGGGGATTGGGTGCAAGAGACTGTGTGGAATGGGGTCCTGGCAAAGGACAACAGAGGTAGAGTTTTTAAAGCAATGTAGCAGTTACTTAGGTAATCCACACATGCATATAGATGAGTTGCCACTTGAGGATATGCTCGCAGGGCGAGTATCAATATTGACATAGTTACTGGCTCTGTGTGAGTAATGTGTTATTGTGTGAATAGTGAATGAGTCTAGCAATGATCTCCTCTTAACACTAGAGGGCATTGTTCTCCAAGTGACCAACTCACTGTGAAGAGTTAAGGACTTGTTGCCTGTCTACCCAAACGCCTTGCTCCGGCCAAACACTACGCCACGCCCACGGACGTTAGTTTCTTCTCTGCAATGAATCCGGATCAGAGTACCTCCCTGACGATTTCTAGAATATAAATACATTCTAGACCGTCTGATTTGTCCCAGAAACCGATGGGTTGGGCCAGAGACAGAACACACATGGGTAAAGCAGCGTTTTGAAAGTTTGTCATTGGCTTTGATACTCTGGTTAAAGATGATCCAATCGCTGATGACTTTGCTGGTATCAGAGATGTATTCGTGGAGGGTCAGCTATTTGTGGACGACTAGCTTGTTTGGGGACAGGAATCGCTGATAACTTGCTTATTAATTACTTTTCAATGATAATTTTTGGTCAAGTGATACAGTTTTAGTTTTAGGCCTATTTTGTGGCTTCCAGAAGAATTCACTTGAAGAAATTATCTTCGATTGTTTCTCTCGGTTTCGTTTGTCTCAGAAGTTCAATCAAGTTTTAGTAGGGCCAAATCCTAACTTGAGTTGTACGTGCTAAGCTGTAACCCAGTCATGCATTGATGTCAATTGAAGATTTACATGAAAACTCGACCTCATGGGCTCTTACATTAGGATTTGGGCGAAAACCCGTAAAACAGCAAACTGGGGTGACAGTGGCAAGGAAAACTTCTTAGGTAGGAAGACACTTTGTAGATGTACTCCCAGTGCAAAACTTTTGGTGAGGAGGAAGATTGAATCAACTTCCCTATCAGTTGAATAAGATGTCAATGTGAAACACTACACCTCCATTGTTAGGATATAAAGTGACGGTTCACCAAAAATCTGAATTTATAAAATGTTTCACTTACCTAGACCGTTGTCGACCGAGCAAGATAGTTTTAAAGTGCATATTTGGTATTTAGTTGCCTAGTATTAGCTTCCCAGAGGAGAACTAAGAGCCTTATCAATGGGGGGCAGTAGGACTACTTCGTATGCTCTAAAAAGCCCCAAAATGTAGCTCAAGTAACTCCAAAGCAACCTGAAAGATTTTTTGTGAACCAAGCATCCATATAAACTGTGTGGCATCCCCATAAAACTTCAATAACCCGGTGAGAGCGCTTAGTGTCGTGCTGAAGGGTGGAGGAGCGACGTCACAGACCGACGTCTTCCTCCTGTCCTCTCCTCCCCTTGCTCCTTCTGTTTTGCTTTAGTGTAATCGCCATTTACCACAACCCCTGCATTTAAATGATCCCCATTCACTCCCAGAAAGTTTGTATTCATGAGTGTATAACTGTCATCTGTGAATGTAAAATTGTTGGGTTTCCAGATATCATGCCAACTAATCAGGGGGTTGAATTAGTATTTTGTTGCCAGTGCATACTCCTCAAAAAATGGGGGCATTCTCTGCCACATTATTTGAGTATTCATGTTATTGTTTAGAATTATGTTGTTATTTTATATATATTTTATACATGTTATTTTATTATGATTTTAATTATTCATATTATAAATAATTTAGCCGACGAACGTACCCAGAGTAACATATAATAAGTGCATTCACCTAAGGAATGTGCCATAACCACATAACCCAAGAATTTCTAGTAATGCACAGCAGACAAACCACTTTAGACTAGGACACTGACCCACAGTCCAAAGCCATACTCCCTCCACTGACCCACAGTCCAAAGCCATACTCCCTCCACTGACCCACAGTCCAAAGCCATACTCCCTCCACTGACCCACACACCCTCCACTGACCCACACAGTTACCATGCCAGGTTCACTGACACACAAAGAGGGGTGAAAGGGGGGTCGAACAGGTGTGTAAAGGAAAAAAATAAACACCTGTGTAACGTCATTGCTTAATCTCTAACGTTGACCACCTCATGGAGCAGAAGATTCACATAAACCAGCTGTCGCTTTCCTCAAAAATAGAGTTAAGAAACCTCAGCGCCACAATAAAAATAAAAAATAAAAAGTGGGTATTCTTATATAATTCCATTTCAATCTTCAATTGGCTCTGCTACAATGGACTTGACCCCCACCCTCCCCTTTATAAGCTCATCCAAACATACACTTTTATTACGTAGGAGAAACATATTGGACTAGTTTCCAGGACAGATTCCCCAATCTCCATTCAAAGTTCTTCCAGGACTAGGTTTAATCTGTGTCCAGGAAAACCGGCCCAATACGTTGAATTGATTAATTAATTCAGCCTCACTCAACACTTCATAACATAGTTGTAAACTCTGTTCATGTTTGTTTGGAAGACATGAAGTGAGTGGGTGGGACGATGACCAATGAGTGAATTTTATTTTCCTGGGCATGGTCAACCACGTCAAGAGATTAACCGATGATGTTACAGGGTCAAACCCCTTCTCCCCGTCACGTGTGTGTGTGTGTGTTTGCATCAGTGGTCCAGGCACAGTGGTCCTGGTACTTTGTGTTTGTATTGCCAGGTATCTGTGAACCAGACAAAGTTGCTTTAGGATCTGACCCACAACATGTGATTTTAGAGCTTGTAGGTTTGTATGTTTCCTATGGTTGTGTGTGACTATTCATGTCCTATAACACCATAGCAGCCTCTTGAATGATCCAGCCTTTCTCTGTGGATCAGCTGGAAAGTGCACTAAAGCTTCTAGATTAGCCAGGGATCAAACAAACGTGACTAAACCGCATAGTTAACTCCGAAGTCCTCCCCACTTTTTTGCTCTCCCTCCCCCCTTCTTCACTCTTTTCCTCTCTCCTCCACCCTCCATCCTTCCGTATCGCACACCTTTCCAATGTATTTATGCCGTCTTCTCCAGTTCACAAGGTTTTCATTCGTCAACATGTCAACATCTTCATATCTGTGAGAGAACACTGGGCTAGAGCACCCAGGCAGTCACTTGTTTACCACACATAAGGCTGGTGACCCAATGAACTGCATGCTGTTTCTTTAACAGTGAGCCAAGTTAGGGATGCCACCAGCCACGTCCTGCGGTGGAACAGGGTTCATTTTGGGGTTTAGCCTTGGTTGGTTACTTGGGATAAAGTTCAAAGCGCTATGGTCTACAATTTGAATTGAGTGTTTGGAAAGTGTAAGGTTGAAAGACAACGTTGGTCCCGCTTTATTTGGATAGTCCCCTACAGATGCTCAAATGATCAAACAACTATTGTCATAAAATGAATTAGAAATGAACTACAACTGTTGGCATATAATAGTTAGTTTACTATCCTCAGCCACTCAAGCTTTCAAATGTGTTGTAATATGTTGCAGCTGATAAACTTGATAAATGAAACCAATTGTACTTACTGAACATCTATACTAGATCATCTGTAGGGGTAAGGGGCTTTCCAAATAAAGTGTTACCAAAATGTTCAAAGAGGGACTGGTATAACTGATCTGAAATGTGCAGATGAGGCATACCTCTGTTGGGGAATAGACCTTGGGAACCGATGAATGGTATGACAGCACGCTATACTCAACGAATGATCCACAGTTGTTCAGTGCTGTGTTGTCTTCAACAACAGAAAGCTGCTAATAAATATCCAAGTTGGTGATGGGCTAACAGTATTTTTCAGTACCTATTTGAAAGAATGTGCATAATGTGGATGAATCATTGGACTAAATGTATTCTCTAGAACATTCCCATGTTAGGTATTATGTGTGCGGGGTTAAACGTCACAAGTAATATTCTCTACCTAAGTACTTTCAGTTAATCACCCAATACCAATCCCCGCCTCTGCTTTACGTCATGGACTAGGACTATGCCTCAGTGGAAACCCACAGCATTCCCTCACAGCGTCTAGGCCTAGAGGGCTAGAGGGGGGTGACCCCAGCTAATGCCGTTACTCCAGTATGCGCTGGTGTCTATCTGCCGTATGGCAGCCTTGCACTGTGACGTGCTAATTGACAGGTAATCTCGGTGTGGTGACGTCAACAGATGGAAACAGGTGGATTATCCCTATTAGAGCCAGAGGAATATGAGACATTCATACACCTACTGACTGACTGAGAGAGGAGAGGGAGGCTGGAGCAGGGAGATACAGCGTATCTGAGGATATACATACTCAACAAGGATTTATTCTTGAGATTTGGAAAGGAGAAGGAAGAGAGGATTGAGAAAGATTAAAGTTTGGAGAAGCGATAGTGAAAAGCGTCTTTGGGATACGATTTTAATTGGTACCTGAGGGGTTTGCAGATTCAGCTGGGAAATAAACCCCACAATCAAAGTCAAGATGACAATAATCAAATTCAACACAGAGTGAGTACGGTTTTTGTTTGGATCATATTGTGAATAATGTAGAGGCTCATGACAAATGCTTACAATGATACAGCACTCTTTCTTTCAGTTGTCTGACAGTGGGACTATGTTGGATGTGAATAACTTTAGTATAGAGAAGACTGTAGGGAATTATGAGTTATTTCAATGCTGGCTGTTGAATTCTGTTTCAATTCCTGTCAGTTATATTGGGCATGGAATTGTTCTATCGGAGTGGTATTCCATTCCTGAGTTGATCGGAATTAAGATGAAATTGACCAACTGGCTAACAAATATTCTGAAGTTTAACAACCTATGCACTCATGATTTTCTCAAAGCAGTGTTGGCTCAAGGGTTGTTGTCTTCAGTCAGGGGCGCAACTTTCACTGGGGACGGGGGGACATGTCCCCCCCACATTCTGAAATTGCATTTTTGTCCCTCCCCAGTTTTATCATTGGAATGTGATACAAAATGAGGCAACGGTGTGCTTTAGGACCATGCGGACGCCTCCGAGAGGTCGGGTAGACTGTTTGCAGTGTTTATCCGACTGGCAAAAAATAAAATAATAATGTCCCCCCCACTTCTAAAACCATGGCTCAGACAACTAGGGGAGTCCTGGATGGCACAGCGACCTGTCAACATGGTGCTATACTGAACAAATAAAAACTATACAAAAATTAGTGCTATACTGGTCTGTGTGTCACTTAGCCCTCATGTCTACAACGTGACTCAGCAAAAGCTCTTTGACCCGCTAACATGGTGTGACCCTTGACACAGAAAACACCAGACACTGTGGTCATTGGTCACCTGTGCTTTTGCCACCTGAAGTTTACCTATGACACACATATGATGTGATTGTGTGGTGTGTTTGTGTTTGCTAGGTGTGTGTGTTCTGAAGTGTGTTTTTTATGTTTCAGTGTACCAACGGTTCCTGTGAAGAACCTCAATGGATCTAGCCCTGTCCACCCTGCATTGGCAGGTAACAACAACCATTAAGTCTTACTATCAAAACAAGAAGCTTGAAGCTGCTGGGAAGCAATGTTTCCTAGTTGAGCTATTAGGGAACTTTGTACCAGTGTCTGAAGCCATTTTCACTCTCCATTTACTAGGCCTATTTTGATCAATTAGCCATCAACATCACTTTATCTAATAATGAAAGACAGTGTTACAGAGAATCAGGCTTAATTTGTTAATTAATGTGACCCATATATGGAGAATGAGTGTAGTTTATGATGGGCCAGTGTCTACCTGTGTTAAGCTCAATAGACAGTGATGGTGAAGGAGTCTCATTGAGCCCTCTGCTGGTTGTCTCTAGGTATTACAGGGATCCTGATGAGCGCCGCAGGACTTCCTGTCTGTCTGACCCGCCCTCCCAAGCTGGTGCTCCACCCCCCGCCCGTCAGCAAGAGTGACATAAAGCCTGTCCCCGGCCTCGGCCACTGCTGCCGCAAGACCACCAAGAAGCAGGCCCGCAAAGGTGGGTGTAGCGCTTACACACACACCCCAGCATAGGAAATTTGGGTCACAGTGATTCATTCACTAACACTTGTCTCTTTTGTCCCTTTCTCTCAGGCAAGACCCCTGAGGAAGTAGTGAAGAGGTACCTTCAGAAGGTCCGCAACCCCCCAGAGGAGGACTGCACTATCTGCATGGAGGCCCTGGCTGGGCCCTCGGGCTACAAGGGTCCCGGAGTTGGGGGCATCCAGCGGGCAGAGTCGGTTGGTCGCCTGGCCCAGTGTGGGCACCAGTACCACCTGCAGTGCTTGGTGGCCATGTACAACAACGGCAACAAGGATGGCAGCCTACAGTGCCCTACCTGCAAGACCATCTACGGCGTGAAGACGGGCAACCAGCCACCCGGCAAGATGGAGTACCACATCATCCCCCACTCGCTGCCCGGCCACCCTGACTGCAAGACCATCCGCATCATCTACAACATCCCCCCCGGCATCCAGGTAACAGCCTTACTGCCCATCCACATACTACACACATCTGATGTACTGTAAATACAAGATGATGGGCATTCTTATTAATTCACTCCTTCGTACATAGTTAGAATTCTCCCATTGACTGTGCATGATTATTCATATACAAATCCCTTTCACCCTTTCCAAGGGGCCTGAGCACCCGAATCCAGGCAAGCCATTCACCGCCCGGGGATTCCCCCGACACTGCTACCTCCCTGATAGCGAGAAGGGACGTAAGGTAAACACCAGCTGACTTCCTGTTTACTAGTTTGTACTGGTTTGCTGTAGATGAAATGACTGGGTTGTGTAGCGAACTAGCTCTCTTTCTCTCTCCCTCTCTCTCTCTTTCCATACCTTTCTTTCATTCTTTCTTCTTTTTCTAGGTACTGAAGCTGCTGCTGGTGGCGTGGGACCGCCGACTCATCTTCTCGGTGGGCACGTCCAGCACCACGGGCGAGTCGGACACGGTCATCTGGAACGAAGTGCACCATAAGACTGAGTTTGGCTCCAACCTGACAGGCCATGGCTACCCCGACCCCGGCCACCTGGACAACGTGCTGGAGGAGCTTAAGGCCCAGGGGATCACAGAGGAGGAGTGCCTACCCAGAGACTGAGCTAAAGAAGGGTCAATGGGGAAACAGCAACACAGAGACTTGTCTGACTCTGGAGACTTGAGACAGAGCTTAAACAATGAACATACAGACTCAGAGACACAATGGAACGGAGACGAGGAGAAATAGACAAATTAATTTTAAAAGAGACACAGAAATGAACACAGACAGTGCAACTGTGACAGCAACAGAAACAGAATGACTGAACCGGTGAACAGATGAGCCAAGAAAAATAACCAACGGGGCATTAAAGAAATAGAGAAACAGACAAATAGACTGTCTGGCTCTAGTTTCTCGCGACGCTGACTGAGGTACAACATTTTGACACCCACTGAACAGGTGAGCTGTGGCTCGGCTGCATGGGTCGCTTGTATGATGGAATGGTTTAGTTTATTTCTGCTACGTTAATGGTGGTGTCACAAAATGTCATTCAGTGAGACGTTTGAGGCAACAGTGCACATACAATTCAGTGTTGGACAGAAGCTGTCGTTTATACTGTGAGAGTTCGACAAGAATGTACGGAATTTGTATTGGTCCAATTGAATTCAGTGGTGCACCAAGTTTACCAGAGCTGCTGTAAGTGGTAGGATCAGCGCTAAAAAAGTGTATTAGTGGGGATATGATAGATAGGCTAATGAATGGTAGAGGGAAAAAAGTATTAGACCACTGGCAGCGTAGTAACAAATCTCTCATTACAGAAAACGTTACTGAGAACGTTAAAAAAAGTTCATGTTTATGACTGGACGTGTGAGCATGAGTATGTAATGCCCTTTTCTGGTACTTATCGAAAAATACATTCCCTTTGCCTATATAGGTTTTCTTCTGTATTTTATTAATTGCTGTATCATTTTGAAAATGCATTGTTGTACATTTTAAATAGTTGTTATATATTGGCTCGGTTGAGTTTATATATGACATTGTAAGGAAATGAGTCAAGCTTGAGTCTTCTCGAGAGGGCTCCTAAATATTACAAGCCTCTGTGGGTGTGTTTAATATCTGAGCTTTTAACTCAGACGATTTAAGACTCATCCGATGCCAATCACTTTCAGTATTAATTATTTGGGAACCCTCTCGATGTGGTGGGTGAGCCTAAACGCACAAAATGAGAGTCCTCTTCAGACCATGGGTGCATCTCAATAGTCTTACATAGCTTCCTCTAAAATTCTTTCACATCAATGCAGATGAATGAACAGGGATTGTGGGGGTGTGGGAGGGTGAGAAAGGCCACAAGACTATTGAGATGTACCCCAGAAGAAATTAAATCAGATATAAAGCTATGATTGGACCTGCCACCAGAGGTCAGATTTGCACTGCACAGAGCATCAACTTTATTTTTTCCTTCAGTCAAAACGAAACATGGAAAGTTAGGCTTGACCTTAAGTTATATCTAACAGTTAAAACGACTTTGGGTTTCATTTTATTTTCTTTGTTTTGGACACCAGCCTCATTCGTCTCTGAGAAAAGCAAACCTTCTGTTGTTTTTGCCATAAGGAGGTACACTTTGAAAGATTTGCTCTGTCGTCGATCTAACCTGTGGTCAAACGGTCCAGTCGGTTTGTGTTAGGTCCATGACGGACCTGCTTGTAAAGCGGTACTATTGACAATATGTATATATGAGTATGTGTTAACATGCAAATGTTAGGCCAACATTTATAGTTTATATACTTTCTGTATGTGTCTATGTACACAACTTTATGTGAAACATTTTTTTACGGTACGATTATAACGTAACTGTACATACACTTAATTCCTATTTTATTTATTGTACTCAATTCTTTTATAATTTGTATCGAATTATGTTTTTCTTATAAGTGGCATATCAAAACCACAATTTTTTACTTTGATGTATATAGTTTAGCCACATTTTACTGCTGTGTGACTACATGAAGTCTACATACCCATCACATGACGGCTGTATTCTACTTTGCGGGTAGGGGTACTGCATTTGGCACATGTCATGTGACCTTGTAGCCCCCCCCCCCCCATTTTGGATGTGTTATGCAGGACTTTATGTAGTCATGTTTTATGTCTATTCAGTTCTTGCACTGCTCAGTTTTGTACATCTAATTTCCTTTCCCAGGCACAGTCTGACTACATGTCCGTCAATGGGAATAAAACAATGGTTGAAGGCTCATGGCCACTTTGTAAAAAAAAAAAAAACTGTTAATAAAACCTTTGTAAAAGTTGTAATGGCGAGAACGAATGACGTTGATGGCAGAGAAAGTAGGAACGCATAAAACTACAAAAGACTTGCATTTAATGGAACAGTGGGACAATTAAAATAACATTAGTATTATGATTACGGTGTTTGTGTCTTTTCGTGTGGGTGTGTGTATGTACCCATTATGCAGGGATTGACATTATGGGTTTCCGTATTGGCCAGGGCAAGTAAACTGAGCAGTTGGGCAAGGTGGGCAGTTTTCTTTACTGAAACAACCAAACTGCAAGAATTCCAGTAGCCAAACCCTAAACTTTCTGGTTCCTCCCCATCGTTTAAGTGAAATACGGCCAATTTATGGCATTTCTGCGTGTAAATATTTATGGCAAGTGACCATAAATATACTCCTGATTTGCCCGATGGGCAAATGTCTTTCAGAATACAGTAATTCTATTAGTGCGCTAAGGTTCCTCCCCAGATCATTCACACTCTGTTGACATGGCAGGGTCAGTCTAACCATGCGAAACCACGAGGGACAGTTTATCTCTAGATTAGTCTGGGCTCTGGATTAGTAGTCTGGATTATGTCCACTTTAACGAATGAGAAAAGGTAGTAAGATAACTATTTAAGAATAGCCTATTAGATTAAACAATGACTTTAATTTCTGCCCTTCTTTTAGTTACTAGGCTAATGTGTAGCACAGTAGCCAAGACACTAACTGGCATTGGGCAGCCGATTTCTATATCATTGTGTGTGGTTTTGAGAGGGCTTTTGTGCCACAAAGTGCCAGTTCTGGACAATTAAGTCAAATTTCTGATTAGGTTTTGATCTATTTGACAGGCTTGAGCTGCTTGAATACAGTTGCAGACATGCAGACGGTCAAGAGGTATAAGTAGATTAACATAGCCATTTCACAGACACGGGCTATTGTTGGAATACACTCCAAATTCATATGGATTCTATGAGGCTTGCCCATTGTTTGAAGTCATGGAGTTCCCTTCTTCAGATATATTTTTTTGTATATGACATAACAACCCCTTATTTTATTATTGTACAGGGATGATTTGGTGAATCAAGTGAGAACATGGCCCTGGCACCACTAAACTACTAGAAAGATAATCCTTACAACCCCAAGAAGGGTCTCATCAAACATTATACAAGTTTGATATGATATGAATTATATAGAACTGCAATGTTTGCTCTTTTACTATCTTCTGCCACTTCAGGACAGATATTTAAAAACAATATGTGGTGTTTTGTGGTCCTGTGTGGCTTAGCAACACAAAGGTCATGGGTTCAATTCCCGCAGGGATCACATACTAAAAATGAATGCACTCAATTTACTGTAAGTTGCTTTGGTTAAAGTTTCTAGTAAGTGGCTTAACATAAATCTCTAGTTCTCTTGTCCATTTCAATGGAGGAGGTACTTCTATAGGTAAGTGACAGACGTGATGGATTGGGAAGAGCTGCCAGTGTTATGGCATGTTGGAACGTCTGTCAATTTCTATGGAGCAGATGGACCACGAGCTCTAATAAGGGAAAAACTGTGTTAAGACAGAGTGACAGCAAAGTGTCACAAATAAAGACAAAGTAATGGTAAGTCACAGATGGATCCGGCTATTAGTGGCACTGGCAGTATACATTTCTTCCAACTTCAATGTGGCCCCTTCTTGGAAATGTGGAGATTGGCTGGGGGTGTTTTCACAGACACTATTATGTTCACATTGTCTCCAGAGTGCTTTATGTACTCTAGTATTGAGAGAGAGAGATTACATGCTGACCCCACCCTTGCAGGCCAAGGGCCATATTGTGGTGAGGAGTGGGGGAGGGGTTCAAGTGTCCACGCATAAACTGACCTACCGACAGGACTCCCATTGTCTTGGTTTAATTATAATACACTGAACCCCTCCCCCCTGAATGTTTTTCCCCCTGCACTTTCATATTTACATTTACGTCATTTAGCAGACGCTCTTATCCAGAGCGACTTACCATATCATTTGCATATAATTTCATAGTGCATTGAGAACAGTATCCACACACTGCCAGAGTATGTTGCTTTTGATTACATTTATTAGGTGTCTTTTCCTTAGGTGAAAAGTAGTGTCCTCCTGTTTTCACCACCTTCGCTGCAAAAAGCCAGTCCCTGCACTCCCAAGTGTATGTTATTAAAAGCTTTTAAATGCAGCAACATCTTGGCTGCCTGCCCAGACCAAAGGCTTGTTGCCAAGGAAACAAATTAAACCCGCTCTCTCACTCTACTCCCTCCCTCCCTCCCCCGAGACTCATATTTCAAATATGTTTTCCCTGTAATCTCTGGCCTACCTCAATGCGTTTCAGCTAAAATCTTTTTGTTGTGGCATTGGAGTGAGAGAGCGAGAAAGGACATGAGAGACAGGGAGTGGTTAAGAGAGCTGGGGGGGAGGAGAAAGAGGGGCCTCCTAGTTGCCAGGGAAACTTGACATCACAGTGACGATTTCCTCCATTTAAAAGCTTTTAACCGGATCCCTCTCCTGCCCTAGGCCCCATTTTGAGTCCTCTTTCAGCTAAACTCGGGGGAAAGGCACCGGCAAAGCAGAGCGGTGTGTGGCTGTTTGCAACCACATTCCACTGACAACTGCTAGACTGCTAGAAACACCTTAGAGCAGAAAAGGGATTTCAAACTAAACCGTTTTGGATGCCTATTTTTGTTTACAAAACCAAAACAGGAATAGAGGGCTTTCGAGAGGGCTTTCAAAATGGCCACCAAGGACAATTTCAGTTACCTTATCTCGGGCCACAGCGAGAAGCACAGGAGGGCCCGAAACTGGACCGATGCGGAGATGAAGGGGCTCCTGTACGTATGGGAACAGAACGTCGCCGAGCTGAAGAAATGCAAGAGGAACGCCAAGATCTATGAGAAGATGGCCCAGAGGTTCTTCGAACTCACGGGAGAACAGCGCCACCGGGAGGAGATCAAGATGAAAATCACCAACTTGTCTTTTCAGTACAGGCAAGTGTAAGAAATACACTGGATTTTTTTTGTTTGGATGGGAAAAGGTGGCAACATAAATCCATGAATATCTTGTATGAACTTACTTAAATATCCACAGAGAGAGTAGACAAACTGAAGTGGGCTATTTCTTTAGAATTGAACATTTACATACATTTACGTCATTTAGCAGACGCTCTTATCCAGAGCGATTACAAATAGGTGCATTCACCTTATAGCCAGTGGGATAACCACTTTACAATGTTTTTTGTTGTTGTTTTTTGTTGTTTTCTTTTGGGGGGGGGGTTGGAGTAAAGGGGGGGGGGGGGGGGGGGGGGGGTTGAAGGATTACTTTATCCTATCCCAGGTATTCCTTAAAGAGGTGGGGTTTCAAATGTCTCCGGAAGGTGGTGAGTGACTCCGCTGTCCTGGCGTCGTGAGGGAGCTTGTTCCACCATTGGGGTGCCAGAGCAGCGAACAGTTTTGACTGGGCTGAGCGGGAACTATGCTTCCGCAGAGGTAGGGGAGCCAGCAGGCCAGAGGTGGATGAACGCAGTGCCCTCGTTTGGGTGTAGGGACTGATCAGAGCCTGAAGGTACGGAGATGCCGTTCCCCTCACAGCTCCGTAGGCAAGCACCATGGTCTTGTAGCAGATGCGAGCTTCAACTGGAAGCCAGTGGAGTGTGCGGAGGAGCGGGGTGACGTGAGAGAACTTGGGAAGGTTGAACACCAGACGGGCTGCGGCATTCTGGATGAGTTGTAGGGGTTTAATGGCACAGACAGGGAGCCCAGCCAACAGCGAGTTGCAGTAATCCAGACGGGAGATGACAAGTGCCTGGATTAGGACCTGTGCCGCTTCCTGTGTTAGGCAGGGTCGTACTCTCCGAATGTTGTAGAGCATGAACCTACAGGATCGGGTCACCGCCTTGATGTTAGCGGAGAACGACAGTGTGTTGTCCAGGGTCACGCCAAGGCTCTTCGCACTCTGGGAGGAGGACACAACGGAGTTGTCAACCGTGATGGCGAGATCATGGAACGGGCAGTCCTTCCCCGGGAGGAAGAGCAGCTCCGTCTTGCCGAGGTTCAGCTTGAGGTGGTGATCCGTCATCCATACTGATATGTCTGCCAGACATGCAGAGATGCGATTCGCCACCTGGTTATCAGAAGGGGGAAAGGAGAAGATTAGTTGTGTGTCGTCAGCGTAGCAATGATAGGAGAGGCCATGTGAGGATATGACAGAGCCAAGTGACTTGGTGTATAGCGAGAATAGGAGAGGGCCTAGAACTGAGCCCTGGGGGACACCAGTGGTGAGAGCACGTGGTGCGGAGACAGCTTCTCGCCACGCCACTTGGTAGGAGCGACCGGTCAGGTAGGACGCAATCCAAGAGTGAGCCGCGCCGGAGATGCCCAGCTCGGAGAGGGTGGAGAGGAGGATCTGATGGTTCACACTATCAAAGGCAGCAGACAGGTCTAGAAGGACAAGAGCAGAGGAGAGAGAGTTAGCTTTAGCAGTGCGGAGAGCCTCTGTGACACAGAGAAGAGCAGTCTCAGTTGAATGACCAGTCTTGAAACCTGACTGGTTTGGATCAAGAAGGTCATTCTGAGAGAGATAGCAAGAGAGTTGGCTAAAGACGGCACGCTCAATAGTTTTGGAGAGAAAAGAAAGAAGGGATACTGGTCTGTAGTTGTTGACATCGGAGGGATCGAGTGTTGGTTTTTTGAGAAGGGGTGCAACTCTCGCTCTCTTGAAGACGGAAGGGACATAGCCAGCGGTCAAGGATGAGTTGATCAGCGAGGTGAGGTAAGGGAGAAGGTCACCGGAGATGGTCTGGAGAAGAGAGGAGGGGATAGGGTCAAGCGGGCAGGTTGTTGGGCGGCCTGCCGTCACAAGTCGCAAGATTTTATCTGGAGAGAGAGGGGAGAAAGAAGTCAAAGCATAGGGTAGGGCAGTGTGAGCAGGACCAGCAGTGTCATTTGACTTAACAAACGAGGATCGGATGTCGTCAACCTTCTTTTCAAAATGGTTGACGAAGTCATCCACAGAGAGGGAGGAGGGGGGGGGGGGAGATTCAGCAGGGAGGAGAATGTGGCAAAGAGCTTCCTAGGGTTAGAGGCGGATGCTTGGAATTTAGAGTGGTAGAAAGTGGCCTTAGCAGCAGAAACAGATGAAGACAATGCAGAGAGGAGGGAGTGAAAATATGCCAGGTCTGCAGGGAGTCTAGTTTTATTCCATTTCCGCTCAGCTGCCCGGAGCTCTGTTCTGTGAGCTCGCAATGAGTCATCAAGCCACGGAGCTGGAGGGGAGGACCGAGCCGGCCGGGAGGATAGGGGACATAGAGAGTCAAAGGATGCAGAAAGGGAGGAGAGGAGGGTTGAGGAGGCAGAATCAGGAGATTGGAGGGAGAAGGATTGAGCAGAGGGAAGAGATGATAGGATGGAAGAGGAGAGAGTAGCGGGAGAGAGAGAGCGAAGGTTGCGACGGCGCATTACCATCTGTGTAGGGGCAGAGTGAGTAGTGTTGGAGGAGAGGGAGAGAGAAAAGGATACAAAGTAGTGGTCGGAAACTTGGAGGGGAGTTGCAGTGAGATTAGTAGAAGAACAGCATCTAGTAAAGATGAGGTCAAGCGTATTGCCTGCCTTGTGAGTAGGGGGGGACTGTGAGAGGGTGAGGTCAAAAGAGGAGAGGAGTGGAAAGAAGGAGGCAGAGAGAAATGAGTCAAATGTAGACGTAGGGAGGTTGAAATCCCCCAGAACTGTGAGGGGTGAGCCATCCTCAGGAAAGGAACTTATCAAGGCGTCAAGCTCATTGATGAACTCTCCAAGGGAACCTGGAGGGCGATAGATGACAAGGATATTAAGCTTAAATGGGCTAGTGACTGTGACAGCATGGAATTCAAATGAGGAGATAGACAGATGGGTCAGGGGAAAAATTGAGAATGTCCACTTGGAAGAGATGAGGATTCCTGTGCCACCACCCCGCTGACCAGATGCTCTCGGGGTATGCGAGAACACATGGTCAGACGAGGAGAGAGCAGCAGGAGTAGCAGTGTTTTCAGTGGTAATCCATGTTTCCAATGAAGTCTGCCTTGTTGGCAGCAGAACGGCAGTTCCAGAGGCTGCCTGAGACCTGGAACTCCACGTGGGTCATGCGTGCAGGGACCACCAGGTTAGAGAGGCAGCAGCCACGCGGTGTGAGGCGTTTGTGTAGCCTGTGCGGAGAGGAGAGAACAGGGATAGGCAGAGGCATAGTTGACAGGCTGCAGCAGATGGCTACAATAATGCAGAGGAGATCGGAATAAAATGAACTAAACATCTGGGAAAGGAGAGAGCGGGGCCTCCCTCACCACAACTCCCAAATATAACTCTCCCAACTTCCACCTCAGAAACTATAATTGTTGTAAACTACAGCGGTTCAATGTTTTCTAGGAATAGACTAACCTAGTTTATTCAGCTAGCTAACTAGGTGCAGTATTATTCCGTGAAAAACGTCCGGGCACCTCGTCATAAGACGCCACAGCCAGCTAGCATGCCGGTCTCCAGCAGCAGGGTTTAGCGCCAATACTCAGCCACAACAACCACCAGTGTATCAACACACAAGCAGATCGTTCGTGTCCGTGTCTAACGTTGTGGGTTAGTCCCGACAGCTTGAGCGAGTCCGTCGTCAACTTATTCAGCCAGTTAGTTAGCTAGAATAGTTAGCAAACTAGCTAGCCATTGCTTTCAGACAAAGAAGAACCCCTCCTTTCACGGCACAAACACACAGAGAGAGCCAAACTAACGTTAACTAGTCACCCATGTCCCGAATTCCTTGAGCGACTCGGGCTATCAATATGTAAAAAACAAAACACAAGTGTAGGTTATGACTTACCCCTAGGAGCTACTGTTAGCTAGCCAAGTGAAAAGCTAGCCACTGAATTGACTCAGCCAGTTCGCGTCTGTTCGCTCGGTCGTTCCAGCTATTGTTTACAAGTAGCTATCCAGGTTGCAACAAGCTTGCTAATTTTCAAGCACAGTAGCCACTTGCTACCTAACGTTAACGGTTCAGACAATGAGGTTAGAAAACAGCTGAATGGTAGGCAGTTATTGTATGTAATTATTGTAGGCAGCCAGCTGGCGTAATTACAGGCACTCTCAGGCGTGAAACAACTATACCGTTGCTAATAGCTACTCGCCAGCTAGTCCAGGTGGTGAGTTAGCTAGCTAGCTAGCTTCGTGCTACACCCGGCACCGCCGAATACAATACTAACCTACAATAATTACATACAACAACTACCTACAACAACCCACGATACCTACCTACAATACCTAACTACAATCTAAATACATAGTTTAAGCCTTACTCGACAAAGCCCAAGCTATGTATAAAGCCAAACTTACCCGACGCCAAGCTTACCCGACGACGAGATGACTCTTTCTCTCTCTCGTTCTGTTCTCTCCCACGGGTGTCAAAGCATCCTGCATACCTAGAACTCAATACAGGCAGCCATGATACCTAGAAACCCAGACTTCTTATGTCCCCTACTTGATCCAAAGCAATATATACCATCCTTAACTCCTCTCCTTCTATGACAGGAAAATGAAGTGCACGACCAATGGGAGTGGAGGTACCCCGGACTGGCCGTACTACAAAGCCATAGAGAAGATCCTCACCAAGACTGCCAATAATGGGACTATGAACCCATTTGAGCTCCAGTCTTCTGGCCCCTCCACCTCCACGGAGGCCTCGATGTCCCATGCGGAGGGCCTCCCCATGGGCTTCCTTCCGGAGTACACAGGCTCCTCTGATGAGATGGAGATGAGGGAGGACCTGGATGGATCGGAGAGCTCTGGCAGTCTGCATTCCGGGCTTCCCTGTCCTGAGTAAGGCCATGTTTACATATTGGTCTTCAAATGAGGGAACACAGAGAGAGAGAGAGAGAGAGAGACCTGGGCCCTGACAGTAAATCTCAGTAAGACAAAAATAATGGTGTTCCAAAAAAGGTCCAGTTGCCAGGACCACAAATACAAATTCCATCTAGACACCGTTGCCCTAGAGCACACAAAAAACGATACATACCTCTGCCTAAACATCAGCGCCACAGGTAACTTCCACAAAGCTGTGAACGATCTTAGAGACAAGGCAAGAAGGGCCTTCTATGCCATCAAAAGGAACATAAAATTCGACATACCAATTAGGATCTGACTAAAAATACTTGAATCAGTTATAGAACCCATTGCCTTTTATGGTTGTGAGGTCTGGTGTCCGCTCACCAACCAAGAATACACAAAATGGGACAAACACCAAATTGAGATTCTGCATGCAGAATTCTGCAAAAATATCCTCAGTGTGCAACGGGATCTGACTAAAAATACTTGAATCAGTTATAGAACCCATTGCCTTTTATGGTTGTGAGGTCTGGTGTCCGCTCACCAACCAAGAATACACAAAATGGGACAAACACCAAATTGAGATTCTGCATGCAGAATTCTGCAAAAATATCCTCAGTGTGCAACGGGATCTGACTAAAAATACTTGAATCAGTTATAGAACCCATTGACTTTTATGGTTGTGAGGTCTGGTGTCCGCTCACCAACCAAGAATACACAAAATGGGACAAAAACCTAATTGAGATTCTGCATGCAGAATTCAGCAAAAATATCCTGTGTGCAACGAAAAACACCAAATAATGCATGCAGAGCAGAATTAGGGCGATACCCGCTAATTATCAAAATCCAGAAAAGAGACAATAAATTCTATAACCACTTAAAAGGAAGCGATTCCCAAACCTTCCATAGCAAAGCCATCACCTACAGAGAGATGAACTTGGAGAAGAGTCCCCTAAGTAAGCTGGTCCTGGGGCTCTGTTCACGAACACAAACAGACCCCACAGAGCCCCAGGACAACAACGACAACACAATTAGACCCAACCAAATCATGAGAAAAAAAAAGAGAATTACTTGACACATTGGAAAGAATTAACAAAAAAACAGAGCAAACTAAAATGCTATTTGGCCCTAAACAGAGAGTACACAGTGGCAGAATACCTGACCACTGTGACTGACCCAAACTTAAGGAAAGCTTTGACTATGTACAGACTCAGTGAGCATAGCCTTGCTATTGAGAAAGGCTGCCGTAGGCAGACCTGGCTCTCAAGAGAAGACAGGCTATGTACACACTGCCCACAAAATGAGGTGGAAACTGAGCTGCACTTCCTAACCTCCTGCCAAATGTATGACCATATTAGAGACACATATTTCCCTCAGATTACAGAGATCCACAAAGAATTCGAAAAAACAAACCCAATTTGGATAAACTCCCTTATCTACTGGGTGAAAAACCACAGTGTGCCATCACAACAGCGAGATTTGTGACCTGTTGCCACAAGAAAAGGGCAACCAGTGAAGAACAAACACCATTGTAAATGTATTTTCCCATTTGTACTTTAACTATTTGCACATTGTTACAACACTGTATATATACATAATATGACATTTTAAATGTCTTTATTCTTTTGGAACTTCTGAGTGTAATGTTTACTGTTAATATTTATTGTTTATTTCACTTTTGTTTACTATCTACTTAATTTGGTTTGGCAATGTTAACATACGTTTCCCATGCCAATAAAGCCCTTAAATTGAAATTGAATTGAGAGAGAGAGAGAGAGAGAGAGAGAGAGAGAGAGAGAGAGAGAGAGAGAGAGAGAGAGAGAGAGAGAGAGAGAGAGAGAGAGAGAGAGAGAGAGAGAGAGAGAGAGAGAGAGAGAGAGAGAGAGAGAGAGAGAGAGAGAGAGAGAGAGAGAGGTGTCAAGCTAAACTGCCCACCCTTGCCAGGAGGGTGATAAAGAGTTTCCACAAGGCTCTCTAAGTGATAAACATCACAATGAATTGTGATGATAGTTAATTAGCATGAAAGTACATGAAAGTACTCATACAGTGAGTTTACTTTAATTTCAACCTCTTCTTTAGTTCTTGGCTTATCCCAGAAAGGTTCCTACATATCAAAAGAAAAACATATCTATGAAAACTCTTGAGTACTTGCATAAAACTCAATATAAATTGTGTCATTACCATTACTTTGACTAACAAAACCCCTTTCTGTCCAGTTCTCAACCGGCACCGGCCAAGAGGAAAAAAGTGCACCAGCACCTCTCCCTGAAGCGGCGGAAGCTGAAGGTGATGGAGGCCATGCTGCAGGAGCAGCGGAAGGTGAGCCGGGCGGTGGAGGAGACGTGCCGTGAGGTGCGCCGCGTCATGCACCAGCAGAACGTCCTCCAGGTGCAGAGCCTACAGCTCCAGGAGCGCATGATGAACCTGCTGGAGAAGATGATTCAGCCACCCGCTGCCCCCACACACACCTTGGGCGCTGCTGCCCAGCCCGGGGTCAACGGGCCAGGGCAGGGATGAAGGGTCAAGGGTGAGGGGTCAAGGAGAGTGGGGGTGGTCGCTATATTGCTATTCTAGAAAATAAATGATATATATGACAAAATGCTATAAGGCTATGCTAGGTGATCCCCATATGGCTATGCTAGAAAGGCACTTTTTAACAACTGATTGAGAGTGAATACTGACTGTAATTGTCAATCTCACCCTTACCTCTAACCTGGACGCTCAACCCCCAGAGAGAGGGAAAAGGTTATCAACTTGCTCAACAGTACTGAGAGAATATAGCTGGTTTTGTCCTTTCTAGAATGGCCATTTTGTGGTTGCTGTGAGAGGGTGAGAGGTCAGGGGTGAGGGTTCCGAGGTCTATGGCTGAGGGTAGTTTTTAGACAAGTTCCACCATTTCGATTTGAGAGATATCTACAAGCTACCAAAATACTTATTCACATCGACAAAAGACAATGTATGTCCACAAATTCTATATCTTGATGATAAAAGTCATGTGCATTTGATATTGTATCAATGATATTATAATGTCTGTCCTGCTATGGTGTATGCATCTTCCAACTAGCATAGCCTACTTGTTTGAAATGTATGACTGAAATAAAAACATATGTTCTGTCATCATCTTTCAACTATTCCTGGTACCATCAAGTCTCCCTTTCATCCTAGATATTGCTATAATGTAGCCTTCATATGCTGCGTTTACACAGGCAGTCCAATTCTGATATTTTTTTCACTAATTGGATTTTTGACAAATCAGATCAGCTCTGAAAAAGATCTGATGTGAAAAGGTGGAAAAAAGTGGAACAAATATCAGAATTGGGATGCCTGTGTAAACGCAGACAAAGTCAGCATTCACACTTCAGAGTGGCGCAGTGGTCTAAGGCACTGCATCGCAGTGTTAGCTGTGCCACTAGAGATCCTGGTTTGTATCCAGGCTCTGTCGTAGCCGGCCGCGACCGGGAGACCCATGGGGCGGCGCACAATTGGGCCAGCGTCGTCCAGGGTAGGGGAGGGAATGACCGGCAGGGATGTAGCTCAGTTTGTAGAGCATGGCGTTTGCAACGCCAGGGTTGTGGGTTCGATTCCCACGGGGGGGCAGTATTAAAAATAAAATAATGTATGCACTAACTGTAAGTTGCTCTGGATAAGAGCGTCTGCTAAATGACTCAAATGTAAATGAATGTAATAGGATCTTTATACAATAAAACACAAAATATGATATGATATAATTAACCGCGATTGATAATAGACAGTACTGTGCAGCCGTCTTCATCGACCTGGCCAAGGCTTTCTGTCAACCACTGCATTCTTATTGGCAGACTAAATAGCCTTGCTTTCTCAAATGACTGCCTTGCCTGGTTCACCAACTACTTGTCAGATAGAGTTCAATGTGTCAAATCGGAGAGCCTGTTGTCTGGACCTATGGCCGTCTTTATGGGGGTGCCACAGGGTTCAATTCTCGGGACAACTCTTTTCTCTGTGTATATCAATGATGTCGCTCTTGCTGCTGGTGACTCTCAGATCCACCTCTACGCAGACGACACCATTTTGTATACATCTGGCCCTTCATTGGACACTGTGTTAACAAACCTCCAAACGAGCTTCAATGCCATACAACACTCCTTCTGTAGCCTCCAACTGCTCTTAAACACTAGTAAAACTAAATGCATGCTCTTCAATCGAACGCTGCTGGCACACGCCCACCCGACTAGAATCACTACTCTCGGCGGGTCTGACCTAGAGTATGTGGACAACTACAAATACCTAGGTGTCTGGTTAGACTGTAAACTCTCCTTCCAGACTCACATTAAGCATCTCCAATCCAAAGTGAAATCTAGAATCGGCTTACTATTTCGCAACAAAGCCTCCTTCACTCATGCTGCCAAACATGCCCTCGTAAAACGGACTATCCTACCGATCCTTGACTTCTGCGATGTAATTTACAAAATAGCCTCCAACACTCTACTCAGCAAATTGGATGTAGTCTATCACAGTGCCATCCGTTTTGTCACCAAAGCCCCATATACTACCCACCACTGTGACCTGTACGCTCTTGTTGGCTGGTCCTCACTACATATTCGTCGCCAAACCCACTGGCTCCAAGTCATCTATAAATCACTGCTAGGCAAATCCCTGCCTTATCTTAGCTCATTGGTCACCATAGCAACACCCACCCGTAGTCTGCGCTCCAGCAGGTATATCTCACTGATCATCCCCAAAGCCAACACCTCCTTTGGCCGCCATTCCTTCCAGTTCTCTGCTGCCAATGACTGGAACGAATTGCAAAAATCTCTGAAGCTGGAGACTCTTATCTCCCTCACTAACTTTAAGCATCAGTTGTCAGAGCACCTTACCGATCACTGCACCTGTACACAGCCCATCTGAAATTAGCCCACCCAACTACCTCATCCCCATATTATTATTTATTTTGCTAATTTGCACCCCAGTATCTCTATTTGCACATAATCTCTTGCACATCTATCATTCCAGTGTTAATACTAAATAGTAATTATTTAGCACTATGGCCTATTTATTGCCTTACCTCCATAACTTGCTACATTTGCACACACTGTATATATATTTTCTGTTGTATTTTTGACTTTATGTTTTGTTTACCCCATATGTAACTCTGTGTTGTTGTTTGTATCGCACTGCTTTGCTTTATCGTGGCCAGGTCGCAGTTGTAAATGAGAACTTGTTCTCAACTGGCTTACCTGGTTAAATAAAGGTGAAATAAATAAAATATATATAATAATAATGTGTAACAATAACACAGTATCTGCTGCTCTTGCATGGTAGTGGCTGTACTGGTTTAGAGAGAAAGGATATCACCACTTTAAACGATTGAAAGTGCTAGACTGGCAAATCCAGGAAGGGTTTGCCCTCAGTGTTGTGTGTAATGTGAGAGGACAGTTACATTAACTCACTTTAAACAGCACTGTTTTGAATAATGAACTGTTCTCTGAGAGGATTAGGGGAAACCATGGGATTAAATAGAAGGGAGTTGAATGTAGCTTTACCACCTATAGGTTTAGCATTTTACATTTGTGAAAACAGCTCAAATGTAATGTTTAATTTTTTATTAATCAATATACGGAGTAATAATAACAATAGTCTGCTTATTCTAATTAAATGACTGTCTTTCACTTCACTAGCCTATTAGGCCTAAGGTTTTTTTTATCCAGGGTTTTAGTAGGCCTAAACATTAGTAAACATCTACTTTTTGGCTTGCACTATGTTTCCATTGATTGACTCACTGCTGAGTGTCTATTGTCTATTTGACTGTGGTGTGTACAGTACATGTGTAATAGGACAACGTGACTTGCCCTTGCGACCGTTGCAGAACTTTGACCACAATGCAGTTTGTTTAGTCGTGCGTGGTAGGATGCAACAAAGTATCACCTCTCGAGCTGTGTGGTTAATACATCCAGTTAAGATTGAATGTAAGGTAATTACGCTGTTATGTTAATTAGCTTGTAATAAATCCATTATTAATTGTGCAGTGGTGTCGCATTACATTTTCATCTCATAGCTTTGATTTAAACGTGCATAGTTAATCTATGTGAAATGCTTAAAAGTGCATTTAGGTAATGCTATGTGTGTGAATTGTAGCTTAAATATCGGTAAGAATGTTTATATTTAGCCTATCATTGTTCGATGATCAGAACCAATAGGATCATACCACAAATATTTGAATATTCAACACGAGAGATTGGGCGGATTCGATTATGTTGGGCCACCGGCAAAGAACACCCGGCAAAGGCTCGTCACATTATCGGGCGAAAGCGGGAAGGGAGGTGCGCCATTCTCAAATTGAACAGTAATCTGTGCCGCTCGGTCATTTTGACAAGGCAGCATGGTGCATCGTCCAGAAACATATATCTCTTTTACATAAAATACATGTTTGCATTTTCAAAAACAATTAATTGGTAAGGCAGATAAAGCGTTGTTATCAAAAGCAATCACTTGTACATGGGATAACACAGAATCCTACTACACGTGCTTAATTATGCCACTTTTGTTTTGAGCGGACTTCTCAGTGGGCTTTGAACTGGGCACCTGGCTCGAGCCCGGGAGGCAGCCGGGTCCCAAATCGAATGCAATCAACTTTCAGCCGATACAAAACACGCCTACACGGGCAAGATTAATCGAGCCCCCTCATTGGCGAACTAAAGAAATCACGTGCTCTGAAAACGGTACGGTGTCATGGTTACGATGAAAGACGCTTTGTCCCCAACAATGAATGTAGGCGAGTGGTGTTTGTCACCGGCATATGGAATACGGAATACGGGAGGGACATTTTTGAAAACATAAATGATTATGTTGCGGAAACTACACACGTGTAGATTTGTAACACTTTTTTGACGTTTGGTATTATGCAATCTTTGAACTGACTTCATTAAGTTTTGAAACGGTAATTTCAGTGTCACTGGCAACATTGTATTTGCGCCTAAACGTCGTCGGGATAGGCCGGTCTACTTTAAATCTAAAACTCAAGCAAACGTTTTAGAAAATATTTTTGGGTTTGCTGTATTTTGCCAGATGAGGCCTAACTGCTGTGCTGTTTTGTAAACATTTAACCAAGGGAGGTAGAGTAAAAAAGGATGTGATGTCCAACGAAACCAAATCAAGGCGCTCGAGCAGGTTTGTCTCGTTTAAAAGCTCGTGCTTTGATTGAACTGTTCTTGAGAAGGGGGCCAGCTGGCGCTGTTTGCTCTAGTAGACGGTTAATTCGCACGCTCACTTGGGACCCAGGCTAATTGTCTAACAGCCCACACTTGTCTGGTTAAACTATAATAACTCAATATATTTTTGTCCCAAAATATGGAGATTGTTATTGTGTGCAGGATAACATATTTTTGACGTTTATTTTTCTAAATTGAAGGGGGAAAGCATTTGATGCAATCATTATTATTTTGTAACATTGTGTAACAAATATGTTGTAACATAATATTATCACAGGATAAGTGTTACAGTTGCTGTTAAAAAAAAAAAAAAGGATTCTGGAGGCCTATGCTTAATCAATATTTGATACACTGTATATCACTTATCTTTGCTCTCTCTCTCTCTCTCTCTCTCTCTCTCTCTCTCTCTCTCTCTCTCTCTTTCTCTCTATCTCCTCGCTCTATCTCTTCCTCTCTCCTCATCGCTCTCTCTCTCTCTCTCTCTCTCTCTCTTTCCCTCTGTGTCTCTCTCTTGTCTACTTTTAGTGTTTATGCAGGATGACAAAAACACTTCAGTGTTGGCACTAAACATATAACATTCCAGTGTGACATTCAGTTCCCACACTCTCCATTTGAAAATGTCCACATTCAGAATGAGGATGCCGGGACAGAACGACAGGGCACGAAGGTGTCTGGATTTGACCGCCCCTCAGGAAGTCAGAGGGGTTGAGGTTGTTCGAGGACGTGTAGGATACGGGTTCACCTTATCAGGACGAGGCCCGTGCCTCTTGAGTGGTATATTGGAGGGGAGCCCTGCAGACCTGGTGGGACTAAAGCAGGGGGATTGTATAGTGAGCGTAAACGGAATCGATGTGGCAAAGGCTTCCCACGAGGCTGTGGTGCAGTTGATTGGCACCTGTAAAGGACCCTTGCGGTTGGTGGTGCTTGTCGGGACCTGGCCCACGGTGGACCACTCTGGCAACTCGTCATGTAACTCAGTAAACGCCACTCCATTTCAGCCAAGGCCTTTGTCAGAACCGGACATGTCCCACTGGACCCAACCGTGGAACTCCAAAACCCAACCTGGCTTCCTGTCTGAGGAGGAAACCGCCAGAGTGGCAGACATCAACTCTGTTTTAAATGACCAGGAGAATTATGTGAATCCAGACTGGAGAATGCTGAACACAGCCATGGTGGTGGGCTACTTGGGCTCTACTGAACTGATCTTGGCCTTGTCCTGCCCCAGCTCAGAGGACGACTGCCTACAGGTGATCCGCAGGTGTATTAGACATATGGGCACTGAGCAGGAGACCCACACGCTGGTGATGATGAAGATCATGTTCGACTGCGTCCGCCTCTGTGACGACGCCGGAGCCGTCCTGGCAGCCTTCCCTGCTGAGAACCTTGTCGTGGGAGTTGTGTGTTCCGAGGACAGGCGCTTCTTTTGCCTGGTCACCACTGCACACGTCTCTGGTGGCCATGTGGGAAAGAACGGTCCCCTGAGGTCCTCCTGCCATGTCTTTTTCATCGACCCCGAGCTGTGCCACCACAGTGACCACCTGGGCATCGCCGGGCGCTTCGGCTTTGACTGTATCCCCGACCCAGACACCCAGGGCTGCCAGGAGTTCCCCCTCACTCCCCCCTCCGTCCTTCAGTTTGTGTCTGTCTTATACTGTGACATGGGGGAGGCGGTGGAGAGGTTTAGAACCAGGCTGGACAGAGAGTCTGCCCACCACCTCCACACTCAACAGAACAGCAGCAGAGCCTGCAAGAATGGCAGTGCCAGCAGCAACAGAGACAGCGGGATCGGAAACGCCTCCCCCCCTGAGGAGAGAGCGGACAGGGATTTCCCAATCGCCCACGGAAGTGACCCCGGGGGCAACCTCCCCAGCTGTCCATGGGAGGATTACCCCCAGGCCGAAGAAAACCTCACCCAAATAGTAGCTCACCAAAATAGCCGCCTAAACTTAAACGGCCATCCTAATCCGGGAAGCACACATTCCCTTTCCGAATCTCGACCGGGCCCAGCGTTGTTAACCGGGCCATCCGGAGGCCCTCCTCCCAGGTTAGAGTTTCAGTTCAAGCCCCCGCCACCGCCTTACCCTGTGGGTAAGAACCAGAACCTAACAGAAGGAGGAGGCCCCTTCAGAAGCAGTCAACGCCGGTTCTCTATGAGCGTCAAGCAGAGGTGGCCTAGGGGCCACAGTGGAGAGCCTGATTCCCAGGCAACACCGGCCACTAACAGCTGGTCAGGACCAGCCACGGTGGGTTGCACCAACGCCCTGCCACTCCCCATAAGCCAGATCCCACCAGACAGGTACCAGGCAGCGGAGACCATGACGCTGCTGCCCCAGAGGCAGGAGTGGGCCAAACGACTCTGGAGAGCAGAATCTGGAGAGCTGCTAAATGGAAAGCCCAGGAGAGATGACAATACCAAGGTGAGATAAGAAGAGAGAATGTTGTTGTGTTGATGATTCTGTGATGTGTGTGTGTTTACATAATGTATAAGCCAGAGTTTGTTTTTTCCAGGGTGTTCCCTAACCCAAAGTTAAGATAGGAGATTGTGCAAAGGATGAACAAAAATACCTTTGCATGGTCCCTTCCTTTTTACATCTTGTTTTGTTTCTTTATTCCACAGGAAGTTTCAAGTTTTATTAGTTGTATGTACGGGGCACACATGGCATACACTATCCAACAAAATGATTTAGTGCAGGTTCCTTCTCGACAATGCAACAACAATAAGAAATAATAAAATATAAGAATATGACCATAAAGTAAACGGTTCAGTAGAATAAACATTTTAGTGTAAGTATAATACAGGAAGTCACAATTTATAGTCCAATATTTACACGTGCTTTGGGGAAGGGCGGATTGGGGAGCAAGTGTTTTAAATTGTGCAGTATTTAGCAATCATAATAATAGTATTGTAGCAGCAGTTGCAATGTGTGTGTAGCATGAAAGTTTTTGTGTTTCTATTAGCTTTTTGTTCAACTTTATTCCACAGGAGGTAATACATGGTTTGCAGGAGTCGAGTTGCCAGGCACTGTGAGGGTGGACAGCCCATTCACTCTCACACCTAATATAATACACCATTTAAAAATAAAAAATAAAAACACCTGTTAACTTATACCTCAATTATCACATTTTCATAAATCCACATCCAAGATTTAGTTCCAAACAGGCTTTTAGTTGTTTTCCTGTCCCGGTTTCACTATCTAGGGAATTACTTTCCCTGTGGAAGAAGTACTTTGCTACTTATTGATGTTTTTTAGTTGACACAAGGAAATGTGCATTCCAAACTTGTGATATTTTGGTAAAAATCCTAAAAACATCTGAAAGATCTTTTAATAGCCAATACAGAAAGTTTACCTTTTATAATATGTTTCTCCTGTGGCTGCACTATTGCATCTCTGAGTGTAGAAAAATATGGATGTGTGTAATGAATACTCGGACAGAGTGGTAAGATCCAATCGCAGAATAGCGATGCTTTATTAGAGTACAGACAAGGGAATAGCTTAATCGTGGTCGGGCGGGCTGTGGTCAAAACCGGGCCAGGCAGAGACAGGCAGAGGTACCAAGGGAGCGGGCTTAGTCGTAGTCGAGGTCACAGACACAGGATCAGAGGACGGTAATCACTGGGGTATACAAGCAGAGGATTAAGCAATTCGGGGAGTCAAACAACAAGGCACAGGTCGGATACACGGGTAATCAAAAACAACAAACTCTCTCTCTCTCTCGGAACAAAACGCTTAGCAAGTCACAAAGGAACAATACCTCGCACCGACTGAGCTTCTGAGCACACCTTAAATCCTACCCTAATTACTGACAGGTGTGCTCAGAACTCAGGTGAACCAGATCGAGTCTGATGACTCCCCCTCTCAGTAGATCGGGGAAGTGTCAGACTCTGTCTAGACCCAGCCAACCCCCGATCCCTTACAATGTGTTCCATGGAAATGCAGGCATTTGGCAAAACAGAATCTTTGCTTTGACAGAGTGGCATATTTAAGCAGAATCTGGAAAGAAATGGAGAGAATCCTCCTCCACCATCTGATGTGTTTTTGCTTCTGCTCATCTTTCCAGTGCAGAGAGCAGATTCCCAGAGTCTGATGATAGGGGAAAATATGTGCGCTGTTTATCATTGAGTTATTGTCCTGTGTGTATATGCCGGGATGTATCGCGTGTCTGTCTCTGTTCTGAAAAAGAAGACAATTTTGCACAGGAAGCGAAGGAAAATGACAGGGTAGAACCCATGTGATACCATGGTAATTACCTGCAATTCTTTATTCCAGCTCAAACAGGCTGGGCTCTCACCCATCATTATAATAGCAGGGCTGCTGGCGAAATGCGTTTCTCATGCTCGTTTAGCATATAGCAGTTAAACGGTGAGATTAAGGTGCAGATGAAAGGGGAGGAGTTGAGTTTGATGGAGGCTTTTGAGATAAAGCACTTCCTCAGCCCAATTGGTGTCTGTGAAACCGAACTGAGACTAATGGGCTTGACCATGTTTGACATGGGGCTCACTGTAAGTCTTGTGTGGCCAGTCCGTTATTTTTATACAATCTGTGAGCCAATCACATTTGCCATGATGAGTTATGTTGTCGGGCAGAAGGAGTTAGTTGCGTGTCATGACCCCTGTTATATAAGGACACAGCATATGGCCTTAAGGTCAAGGCAGGAAGAACATCTGTCATCTTGGTTGGTTTACATCATCTTGGTTAAATTGCCCAGTGAGATAGTTCCTTATCACCCTCTCCAATGTTCTCCAAAAACTGCAAGCTTGTTTAAGCCTTGTCTATTTTGTACGGAAGTGTATTCCAGACAGAGGAATGATCATGTTAAGCTGATCGTTGATACTAATCCCTAATGCTTACCTAATAAGGTGTTATGTCATGTTTTTGTCGTGTTTAAGATGGTGTTATGTAGGCTCATGACCAATAACTAAGCATGACAAAAACCACGATAAGATCAATTGTGTCCATGTAATAGTGTGATGTTTTGGCAGACAGTCATTAATGCTTATGATCTCTCTTCTCCCCTTGACAGGGCTCCAAGTTCTGGGGCATCGGTGTGGGACGCTCCTCTGGCCGTCGCTTCTCTGGCCGTCGCTCATTTGGACACTCCAAGAAGCTCAGCCTTGCACGATCACTGGATGACCTGGAGGTAGACCCAATACAGTTCCAGTACAGTCATTCATGTAAATGTTAATGTAAACCTAGCTCCATCCTACTCAGGGGGTTGCCTGGTATTAACCCATTGGAGGTTCTGGAATTATAGTTATTTGAATGAGAGTAAAATATCTGGTGCAATTAAATCGACTTAATTCAATACAACTCTGTTCCGGCTTATCGTACCAATGCCTTTATATTAAAGCATTGTACAATGGCCCTGTTATGCTGTGTACCCATCTTTTATGGGAATGGCATTTTTCCATCATGCCATTCGCCTCTATGCAGAGGAGCTGGTCAGCTTGACTAATTTGGACATTCAGCCAAACCTCCCTCCCCCTTCCGTTCTGCTCCAGTTTCAGCTCTTTCTTAACCTTTCATTTCTGTTCCCTTCTCGTGTTTGGTGCCACACTTGCGGCGAGGGTGGCTCACAAAGTGGTCTTTGTGTGGATCCGAGGCATGGGCCCTGTTGGTTTGGCCTTGCTAATGAGCAGCGCTGCTGAATGACTGAACGACGTGCCCACATTTCTCCCCTATTTGCGCTGCTCTGGGATTCTACTGGCTCCTGCTTTCACACATACCCTACTGCATACACACACACCCTGTCACTCACCCCAACTCTAAACAGTAGTGTCAGAAACTTGCGGCCTCTTGTTCACTGTTTAAGTTCCATAGGGTCTTCAACAAGCCTCTCTTGAACATAAACCTGTACTGAACAGTCTCACACAATGTAAAGGACATTTCTTATGTCTGACCTAATAGGCTTTGACATTTAGTTTAGCTCATTTTTGCGTTTGTCGTCGAACGAGTGTGCGAAGGACTCAACCTCAAAGCCATCTGTCAGCACAACGGCTGATTTGCTTTCTTATGTCAACACGGCTGCACATTCTTTACTACACAGCAATAGGATGTCATGACTAACGGTTTCTGCTCATTCTGTCTGAGTGATTTCTGAGTCAATGGCACTGCAGAGGAGTGAAGAGAAGATAATGGTATTGTCAGTCAGTGTGTGAACCCTGAACCGGGAACTATATAAAGATTTGCTCCAGTTCACCATTTGCTTATGCTACAGCGATGATGTCATTGGTGTAGGCCATCTGGAATTCTTCTGTTTGCGAGGAGCCAAGTACACTCTGGCCTTGCAGCCTCTTCAGGGTCAACAGCTACTGTGACGGCTAGGGAGAGAGATGGGGTGTTTGAAGTGTTGAAACCGTCTGTGACGTCAGTAAGGAGAGCACACAGGCTTCCATATGTTAGCATTAGCTTTGATCTCTTCTACAGAGCCAACCCTCACATGCTAACTGTACAGGCTGGCATGTAAACAACTGTATTATACACATAATTATACACCTATAATAGGAATCTATAGAAAAGGGTCTGCTATAGGCCTACATTAAAAAGCCTGCTACCTACAGATTAACCACTTATAGCTCTAATATAATAGAATTAAATGGATACAACATGGTATTGTCTACACGACGAGGACATTTGCCTTGGGCTTCACACAAATTACATTTATAGATATTAAACAAATATTGCAATACTAGGAATACTTTGTCATCAAGAGCATTTCATTTCACATGTAGGAGTAATATACTGTATAGAGAAGAATTAGCATTGGGTTTTCTAACGTAAGCATGTATTGATTGAAATAATAACTAGGCCTGGCTCATCTTATATAATTGGGCTTTCAGGGCCTCCCGAGTGGCGCAGTGGTCTAAGGCACTGCATCGCAGTGCTAGCTGTGCCACTAGAGATCCTGGTTCGAGTCCAGGCTCTGTCGCAGCCTACCGCGACCGGGAGACCCATGGGGCGGAGCACAATTGGCCTAGTGTCGTCCAGGTTAGGGGAGGGTTTGGCTGGCAGGGGTATTCTTGTCCCATCGCGAACTAGTGGCTCCTGTCACCAGGTGTACAGTGTTTCCTCTGACACATTGGTGCGGCTGGCTTCCGTGTTACGCGGGCATTGTGTAAAGGTTGTGTTTCGGAGGACACACGGCTCTCAACCTTCGCCTCTCCTGAGTCCGTATGGGAGTTGCAGCGATGGGACAAGACTGTAACTACCAATTGGATACCATGAAAAAGGGGTAAATTATAATTTCAGGGTAGTAGCTGATCCTCTATATGACGCAAACTGTAATTTTATCTTGAACGTACATCAGAAATAGCTTTGGCCTAGCTACTTGTCAAGCAAAAAATGCTCTTTTTGGGTGGCCGCAGACTGAATGGGAATCCCCAGTTCAAATGGGGAACAGTAAGTAAGAGTAGTACGATTCCCTAAAGTGTTTCCTGGAATACTAAGACTTGGGTGTATTCAATGAGCCAAATTGCATTTTGGTCAGCGGGCGGCTGCCCACTTAGCTAAGTGGGGCTAAGTGAATTTGAACACAGTACGGCCAAGGGAGTCCGCCTTTACAGTATAGCGTTTTCATGTTATGAAACTGTGGAGTTCATATTTAAGGGTTTCTTAGGAGTTGCTGGTCCTCAGGGATTTTTTTGTTGTTGCAAAAAAGGCAGGTCTGTGGTCAGATAATAACTTTTCAAAATGTTCCTTGTGCAGTCACCATTTCAGCCACCCTGGAACCATGACGAAATGAGTGCAATGAGTGAAATTTACGCATGCTGATAGTAATTACCTGAAATGTATACCATGTTTGAGGTTTTCTTCTAATGGCGGACAAATGCAATTAGATCCTCACCTATGGCTATCGCCCACCTCTGGTTTCCACGTCAAGGGCTCATTACCTCGAGGGCTCAGCGTCACCAGCCTGGCTAAACTAGACTGAATGCTGCAGACACCATTGTTTAATTCAGTCTGGTTTAACCAGCCTATAGCAGCTTCACAGGATTATCAGTCAAAGATCAATGAGTCACTCCTGAAGGCTCAGCGCTAGCAGATCTCAACCATAAGGAATATGATTATAAACTATGCTGAGATAATAGGTCATCTATATGCAGAGGTTAGGTTGTTAATTTTCTCCGTATTTGCACTGTGTCGGATTCCATGAACCATTGATTCAGTGTCATAAGCCCTGTAATACCACACCCTGTAATGGTCTATTATCCTGCCTGGTAACATGATCAGCTACTGTATTCAATGCTAGAGAAGATGAAAAATGACAGCAATAGATAAGTAATCTGCGATTTTATGATAAAGAAAGTGAGAGCCTCCCTTTGGCAGGCATTCCGTAAAGAAAAAATATGGAATGACAAACTGGGGCATGAAGTACAAGCTACATCAAAGGAGTTTTACACCCAAAATGTAAGATGTCCTATGTTGTTAGTTGTTTGTCACCATATAAATAGCAAGTGTCATCATGTCTCAGCCTCTCCAGAAGCAAAGGTGAACACACATGTTTATTACATAGTGTGCATCACATTGGAATATCCCATTACACAGGGATTGGAAGGTGTTTTTTTGGGGAGCTTTTCCTACGACTGACTCCTAAAGTCCCTTCCTCAGCTCCTTAGGATGTTATTGAGCCCTTTTCTCACGCTGTGCGAATCCAAAATGTGATAAGCGGACAACGTGGGACCCTGGGAGACCCTTCCAGCGGCGCTGTGGCGAGACCCCTGCCTGTGGATAACCTCTTGCCGTTTGATGCTCAGGAAGCCGGGGCCCTGTTTCTTTTTCCGTGGTCAGTCGTGTGCGTCAGAGCCATGGCATCAGGAGTCAGGAATCGGTAAACGCTGTTATATTTTCCGAACATCACAGAGCCTCTGACACGTAGCTACCCCAGACTGTACTGTCGGCTAGCCTAATCTGGTGTTTTTCCTGGTTGCCGTTTGGTCTCAGCAGAGGACTGTGATGATCAGTGGTTGATGTACAGTGCCTTCAGAAAGTATTCATACCCCTTGACTTATTCCATATTTAGTTGTGTTAAAGCCTGAATTCAAAATTACAGAAATATCTCATTTACATAAGTCTTCACACCCCTGAGTCAATACATGTTAGAATCACCTTTGGCAGCGATTAAAGCTGTGAGTCTTTCTGGGTAAGTCTCTAAAGCCTTGTTCATGCTGCAGGCCTCAATGCTCAAATCAGTTTTGTTTTTCAAATCCGGTTTGGACTACTGACTGTCCAAACCGCAAGTTACAAGTGACCAAATCGGATTTGTGTGTGTTCAGACAGCAGTAATTTGCTGACATGGCTATACTATTTGTCATGGAAAATGTATGCACTCACTAACTGTAAGTCGCTCTGGATAAGAGCGTCTGCTAAATGACTAAAATGTAAAATGTCATAGTAACGACGGGTGTGTGTGCAGTGGTGTAGGCTGATTGGTGGTGGTGCTTGTGCTTATGTAGCAGGCTAAGGTGACAACAATGCCTGCCACGGACGTTTCCCAGTTGTTTTGAATGTTCAAAATCATAGGGTAAGAACACTTTTTAGAGCCTCAAAGGATAAGATGATCCAACTTTCAAAATGAGTCCTTTTTGGCTAGCCACAGCAGTCAACTAGCTAGCTAGGTAGCCGTTTAGCTTTCTATCACATTCACTAATTTGTTTGTAAACAGTAACAAGCTAGTTAGTTACCACATTCTCTTGTCAAACTGTCAATAGAGTAGCTAGCAAGCAACAAAATATGCCGAATAACAACTAAAAACCACTTGGCAAGGAATCAAATTTGTATCTGACTTCAAACCACCTACAACGGTGGTTTGAAATGTGGCTTGAAATATCCGATTCCATGTGCTTTTTGGCTGTTCAGACTGCAGGAAAAATAACAGATTTTTCAATCGGATATGCAAATAAATAGGATTTGAGTCACTTCAAAATGGCTAATGTGAACATGATTTAAGAGCTTTGCACACCAGGATTGTACAATATTCTTCAAGCTCTCTTAGTGGCCATATGGAACTTTTTGGCAGAAATGTGAGTTATAGATCTATCATGCTACTTGAAAGCAAGTCTAAGAAGTTTTTGCGTCTTTTACTTTGGGTTTTGTACAGCAGCAGAAACAACAATATTTTTGGTTGTGGAAAATATATTTCACAGCAGTTAAGATGGTACAATGATACTCTACACTATACTATCTTAT